CCCCTCCTTTCAATTTTTCTTTCTTTTTTAAAAATTTCCTAAATGATGTTTAACAGAGGAAGGGAATTTTCACTGTATGTCTGATAATATTTTTTCTTCTGGAGAAAGCCTTATTTGTTTTATTTCCACTAGAATAAAAGCAGTTTTAAATTTTTTAAAAACCATTTTAAGGATACAATTATTAGCCCCTATAAGCTATATTTTCTTTCGATAGTCTACAGAACAAACCATCGTTATACAATAACTTGCCCTAACCTGCTTAGTTAACCTAATTAACCTAGTTAAGCCTTTAAATATCACTTTAAGCTGTATAGAAGTGTCTGGAAAAATATCTAGTCAAATATTATTTACTGTCATCATGACAAAGATAAAATAAATCAGTTATTAGAAATTAATTATTAAAACTTTTTTTGACTATTTTTAAAACTATAAACTTGTGCAGATAAGGTCAAGTTGATTGGCAGATTTATGTATGCTTGTAAGCTGGTTGAGGTTGAATGATAATGCCGTCTGCACTGAATGCTAAGATGACATCTACTGAACCTGGACAAACCGCTAACCCGCTTAAATGTATCACGCTTTGCCACACACACCCTTCACTAATTACACAAACAAAATCCTACAGCTCACAAATTGAAACCAAGTTTCCTAAATGATTCCTAATACCCCAATAGTCCTCTGACTCGCAGTTTCACCTCAAAGACTAATTTAATGTACCGCAGTCCACACTGAATGCAGCATTTGTTATCCAAGCTGGATGCTGTATTTCAGGTGCTTTCAGTTATTTGTATAACTGTATAACTGTACAGAGGTTTGTACAAACCAGTTTATGTAGTGCCATAATGAATTGACTTCATCGGCTGCTCATGTACAACATCTACTTAATCCTCAAATACTGTATTTGTAGCTGAGGCTGAAAGAGTGTGGTTCATGTTGTTGATGTGGAGAAGATGTGGTTTCTGCTTTCTGTGAAAGTGATTCCACTTTGTGTGAACTTCCAAGGTATAAGGATATGTTTCTTTTTTCTGTTGAAAGCTTTGGAAGAACGTTTGTGAGTAGTAGCCTGTCACGATCACCAGCTATCAAGGCCTTGCAAATTGCTAGAAAACATGTGCTATCACCCGGACTGCAATACTGCCACTGAAATGAACTACAAATCCCATAATTCCCTGTACTCACTGTTACGCACCGTCTAGGGATGGTGCACAACATGAAAGACAAGACGACAAAAATGAATTCAAAGATTTATAGGGGTTTAAATTCGGGAGCTGACAAGGCCAAAATAACAATCAAAAATTCCTTTATATTAAATCTCTAACTTACCTGATCAAAAATAAAAGAAAAGAAAGTACAATTCACTTCCTTAACTACCTAACACAAAAACGGAGGCCAAAAAGGTTTTACAAAGAAAATCGCGTCAAACTCCTTACTATCCCAATATATATACTATTTACAATCTATTTACAAAAACAGGCAACCATATTTGAAGGACAATCCAAAATCAATGTCAGCAGGCAACAAAGGTCAAACAAGCCGGTGGAACAAAGTATCATAAACAAAGCAAACACTAAAACAAACAGTACTCACAATTCTCAATATTATCTCAGAAGTCAAACAAAACAAACAGTACTCACAAATCTCAATATTCTCAGTCCTAACACATCCAAAAACTCTGCACTATACCACATTCAAACATTTCAACAAACTAGGGATGGCTGACGTGAAACTGATGTTTCGACACAGTGTCGAGATCCCGAAGCGCAAGTGTTTCGAAACACTGCACCGAAGCATGATCCGAAGCACCCAAGTCACGTGACTAAAGTGTTTGGAAACACCTAGTCATGTGACTAAAGCGATTCAAAGCATCGATCAGCTTAAACGTTTCGAGACCTGGCGAATCCTCATTTGACTGCCAAGGTCAACACACATTCTCTGTCTCATATGGCTTAAAGGACTGTGTGTTTGCTAATTGATTCTATGCTTTGCATGATGTTTTGGGTTCAAATCCCGACTTGTACAAATACTCTGAAATCATGGTTTTATGTATTTTAATCATGTTTCTGTTTTGTGTAGCCTAAATAGGAAACAGCTGCAGTTACGCCATCAATTTAGCATCATTTTTGTAACACTGTAAAACAATAATAAATATTTTTACAGTATGGTTGGGTTTAGGGTTAGGGTAGACATTAATAAAATACAATAAATGGGAAATTTAATGAATAATATAAATAATTCTTGATAACTTCAGGCCACCATTTTTGATCTAGCAACAACCCTGTTTTAAGACAAAAACAAGACATATTTATTCACAAATTGTTTATTCGGATATCAGACCAATGTTGAAACAAAACAATACAAGAGCAAAGCATTACCAATTGGTATTAAAGCATTTCAAAACAACTGCGACAGTCTGGCTTCGAAACCTACTAACCCCGCATGGAAGTCTGACCCCTTAACCACTGTACTATGTTACTTGAAGGATGAAAATGACCACTAGATGTCACTGTAGAGTGAGGTTTCGAAACGTTTCAAAGCTTCGACATATTTGCTCCGACTGTTTTAATGTTTCACTAAGCCTCGCTTTGCCCACCACTACAACAAACACAAGCAAGTGACCAAAAACAAGATGGCTGCCAAGGAAGTGGTGTCATGGCTTTTTAAAACACTGTAGGCCAATCAGGATCAAGCAAGCTGGAAGTGGCCAATTGGATGTGTTCTAAGCAAAACAGGAACAAGAAAAAAAAAACAGATGAGACAAGACAAACATAGGATTGTAACATCACACACCTGGCCCAGATCTCCTTTGATTGCGAACACAGCTGAAGCTTGTGATTACTAAGACTATTCACCTTATTCTTTGCCGATGAACGGGCAAAGCCATTTGAATCTTTTTGGCTCAAGACTTCCGGTCTCATTCACTTCCATTCATTTTTAGACATTAAAAACTGCTCGTTACGCTGCTTGATGATTCAAACTGATATTTTGTTATTATATTATTCTACTTGGTCTGTATTGTAATGCAAACATTTGTTTGTAGAGCAAGTATTTAGACAGTTTTCTGTTGTTTATTATTCCTAGTCATCTCTCCAATAGGCGACTAAATCGGAAGTTCTAAAACAATCGTGAACAATCGTGAAAATAGGCGCACTTCCGCATTTTAGAATAAGTGTTTTGTAGTGGTGGGGAAAGCGAGGCTTGATGAAACACTGAAACAGTCGAATCAAATATGTCAAATATGTCGAAGCTTTAAAACGTTTCGACACCCGTCTCTACAGTGACACCTTGTGGTCATTTTTGTGTATTGCTCTTAAACAGCTTCAGAAAGATAGAGTTACGCAAATTGAGCTATTAAACTGTACTTTGTAGAATTGGGGTTTCAAGTAATTTAGTGAAGCAGTGAGAGTTCCAGACTAGCATGCAGAGATAATGGTTTTGAATCCATGGTGAGACAGCTGTAGATGTCAGTTTTTAAATGTTTTGTTTTTGTAATGTGTTTTGTTTAAACATTGATCTGACATCTGATTGAACACTTTGTGAATATTTACAGTATGTCTTGTTTTAGTCATAAAACAGTAGCATTATTAAAATACATCAGGTCATAATTTCAGAGTATTTGCACAAGTTGGGATTCGAACGCAAGCCATTTGCTGCACTCTGTGCACATGCACAGTCCATTAGGCTACATAATAGAGACTGACCCTGGCAGTCAAACACAGATACGCCAGGTCTCAAAACGGTTCTGAAATGACTGATGTTTTGAATCGCTTTTGTCACATGACCTAGGTGTTTTAAATCGCCTTAGTCATGTGACCTGGTGTAGTGTTTTGAACCACTTGCGCTTCGGGATCTCAACACTGTGTCAAAACATCAGTTTCTCGTCAGCCATCCCTAGCGTTTTGTTTATCAGTTTTGTTTTGCCACCTGTCCTGACCATTTTCCTGCTTTTGACTACACTCTTGGATTACCTGTATGCTCCTGTTGCCCCTGTTTTGACCATTGCCTGTCTGACTAATCTCTTAAATAAACTGCATGTGAATCCTCACCTCTGTTGTGCCCCACTCAATTTTACAGTAGCCATTAATAGGATAGTTTACTGGGGAAAAAAAGTACAATTCTGTCATTATTTTTTCATCCTTAACTTGTTCCAAACCTCTTTGAGTTTATTTCTTCTGTTGAGCACAAAAGAAATTATTCTCAACAATACCTTCTTTTGTGTTCATTCAAATTAAGAAAGTTTAAAACCACCTGAGTGTGAATAAATTGTGAGAAACTTTCAATTTTGGGTGAACTATCCCTTTAAGTTTATTAGTTGGAAAAAGTGTTATTGAAGTCAATTGCTACCACTTCTGCAAACTATCTCTTTAAATCTATGATGACCTAAATTCTGATCTGTTTCTCCCCCAAATCTGTCTTAAGTCTTGTGATTTAGTGCTCAAACTGACTTCTTTTATGATACTTAGAACTCCACTTTATTTCTATTCACTTTCAGTGTGCTGTTTATTAAAGAGAAGTCTGAATGTGCAGCTAAATATATTTTATGTTCTACTTAAAAAGAAAGAAATTAGGCCGAGTACATAAATGAAGATGTTTATTAATTTGGAGTGAACTGTCTCTTTAAGTGAATACACAATAAAAACCTTTCTTGCACAATTTCCTGGCATTGACCAGCAGTGGGATGTTGTTATTTCAAAATGTGGAAGAAAAACGAATCAGAAAATTGTGGCTCAGAAACATGCAACATATGTAACAGGAGACAACAGTAAGCTATCATTTACTATGGACCTACAGTTGCTTCGCCATGCATGGGTAAATGCACTGCACATTAAAGACGGACTAGAGAGAGAGAGTGACCATGCTTTTATTACAGTAGTAAAGATTAGAGTCACAGCCAAAGTTCCTCCCACTCCGCTATTTCACATGGCTCTGGTTGGGAAGTCTCTGAGTCAAGATAATTCATGTAGTTTCGGATAGGACATACACACCCTTGTGCACAGACACTCACATGCGCACACACTCACAAGACAGAGACACTTGTGTCCCGCTGTCACACTCTGTGTGTGGACTTGCTTGGAGCAGATGGTCTAAAATGAGCTCCTCAGGCTGGATACTGGCTGTGTGTCTTGTGGTTCTTGGAGGTAAATAAATAAATAAGTGTGTATGCGATGCCGATTTCATCTCGATGATGTGGTGTTAACTATGCATTAATGCAACTGTAATACACTGTGTGAGTAAGGCTTTCATTAAGGCAACATTTCTGTTCACCATCTGTCTTTGTGTCATGTGTGTTGGTTTATTGCTGGATATATTTGCATGTCATTAGCCTGGAAATTAATTCTGCAGTAAAATGTTGCTTGTTTGCTCAGTTATCCATAAAATGAAACTGAATGCGTATAATTATGTGAAAGACTTTGCTTAAAGCATTTTTCATTCGTTATAGAATGTCATAATTGGTGTGTTTAGTATATATGTGGATAGTTTACACATTGTTTTTTGAGATTTTTGTGCATTATATAATGTTGGTTCTGCAATACGGTCATGTAAAAAATGTCTTGCTGGCTTATAAAGGCATATATTTAACAGTGATTGCTGACCTTTGATCAGCACATGAGCTGACTGAGTTTAAAACATTTACTCTTCTCTTTCTGTCTTGACAGGAGAAGGACATGCGGTGCAGGCTAAAGAACGGTCAGGCAGCGAGAGGAACTGTTCTGCTAATCCTCCGGTACTCTGTTCTTTACATATCTTTACACCTGTCCTTGTTTGCCTCAGATTCAAACAACAGATTTAGCCTAGCACCAGAACTTGTCTTTAGCTCAGAGAGCAGTGGGGAGAAAATAATAATAATAACCCTGTATCCAGCACACAGGCCTAATCTGGCCACTCAGTGAGATCTTCTCTTCTGATAACAACAGTTTTTAGGTCAGGCACACACCAGATCTCAAGTCAACTTTTACAGTCTTGTTTTGCTGCTTATTTGCATAGATCTGCATTATTAGTTTTGCATTATCGGTTGCATTTACTCTTAATTGTCTTTGAAGAGCTAATGTCAGGATGTACTCGATACACAGTAAAAACTCAGAGATAAAAAGGCACGGACAGTTATTATTGTGTTAGAAGTTACCCTTTCAGATGTAAAATTAATAGGAGGAGGGTGTTTAAATAAATAATGCAATGTGATTTAATGAGGTCTGCAGTAATCTGTTTACTGGCTGCATTGTTCCTGTTTTTAAAATTAGCCTGTAATGGTTTTAACAAAAACAAGTTTCTGCATAGTTGTGAATCATGACACTGATTTTATACAGAAGTTCAGAAAAAAAACATGTTTCTTTCTTTCACAGATGTTATGTTTTTGCTACTGCATCTCTGAACAACAGTGTTTGCAAAGTATCAACACGTGAATGAATCATACACTAAAAAAAAATATTTCTGCAAAACTGTTTCAAACTATTTATATGGGTTGAGTTTAAACAAACAGATTACATTTATTCATAAACCCCTTTCACACAGTGATACCGGTAAATATCCGGAAAAAATTTTCCGGAAAAGAGCATTCACACATCCATCGCAAAATGCCGGTAAATTCTGACATCATTAACCAGAAATGACCTCTAAACGGCTGCGCTTGTGTTTGTAAACATTTGACTACATTACAAACTCTTCGGATGGATCAGTATTGAGTACAACTCTAATGAAAACATATAGAGAAACACTTTCGCATGTCGAGATGTTCATGATATGCGTGTGTGCTGGCGCTATGGGCGCTCACGGGCACACGCAAAGCTTGAAGGTAAACAAACAACGGATTATCATAAACATTTTATCGATAATTATTTACACAGCATTAAGAAGGAACATAGAAACATTATCTGACTAACATCTAGCAGCTAAAGGTGTCTGGAAAAAATATTCAAAGGCTTTTATTCTCATAAACCGCGCGCACGTGAATGCGTCTGACTGTTCTGATTGACTAAATCAGATGTCTCACGTCAGCCCGTTCTAGACGTGGACGCGCTTATTACGGCAATCTTCCTTCTGCATTCACACAGCGCAGCATTCCGGCAAATTACCGGTAATGTTACAACTTCTCTTTCCGGAAAATAGCCAGAACGAATTTACCGGTATTTTCAAAAAGCCGGTAATTTTCCGGAAAGGTCTGTATGTGTGAAAGGGGCTATATTCAACTTAAGGTGTTTGTTTAAATTCAGCCCAAAATAAATTGCTTACAAGCACTTAACATAAAAAAAATGTAAATCCAAGGAATTATCTTTGAATATTTTTTTTCTGTGATGATTGAATGATTCGATTAAGCTACCTATTCATAAATACACTCATTTACTTCATTAAAGGTGCAGTAGGTAATATGCCAAAATGCTAACCGGTTAGCATAATATCTTTGAAACACAGTCCCTCCCCTGTCATTAAAGCCACGCCACATGACAGCAGACTACCTACTAGTTCATGTCATTCGCCAGTTAGAATCGTAGTTAGTGGTTGACCAGTAGCATGCAGGAATTACACTTATTACTAAGCCAAACTTACATGTTATAACATGGTAAATATAGGGAGGGCATCACAGGTTATCATTGTTAAAAAATTAACCAATGTAATATGAATATAAAACCTCATTAAACTTTACTTCAGTAAAGCAGGCTAGGCGGAATACCACTATTTACTTATGGTTTGTTGTTAAACTAAATAAAAATCTACATTATCGATGCTGTCAAATGCCCCTTATGAAACTAAAAATATTCACATTAATTTTTTGCGGGAGGATTTCAGTGGCTGAACAATACTTCTGTGCATATAACCCATTCTCAATACAACACGATCTACATAAGCTTTGCATGACTCAAAGAGTTTTAAACATAACAATGTCTGTCTAAAAGAAATACTTCAGCCATAGTGTTATTCTTAGTAACTCCAATATTGATTCAGGATTTTGAAAAGATTTGATTCAGCATTTGATTTTACTGCAACTGTGATTGTCTTTTGTGCACATGAACGAGCGGCGCACATGCAGGCGTGCACGCACAAATGACGGATCTATTTAAGTGGTTCCCGACCTGTTTGTGTTTCTTTCTTCTGTTGAACACAAAATAAAAATATTTTAACGAATGATCTAAAGCGACCAGCACGAAACAAAAAATACTGTGGAAGTCAATGGCTGCTGCTTTCTATCATTATTAAAATATCATCTTTTGTGTTCAACACAAGAAAGCAACTCAAACAAGTGGAGGATTACTATATGTTGAGAGGATTTAAATTTTGGGGGGAACTGTGACTTTAAGAAATATATGCATAAATTCAAAGATTGATTTTGTTGGTACTGACTTCATTTGATTGTCAAGAACAGAAAAAAAATGAAATATTTAGTATTTATAAGGATTTTTTATTCACATTTTATCAATGTATACAGTAAATCATTTTGATGCAGTATAATGTTGTTGTTTCAGTATTTGCCACCGACAGCTGTAAACACAACTCTTCGGCTTCGTAATATAAGAGCGTCCATGATCCCCCTGAACATCTCTGCCTACATCATTCCTGCCACAGACGCTCATCTGGTAATGCACTTTTATACAATATCAGACATTGAATTTAAGTGTTTTTAAAGTGTTTTAAAAAAGGAGATATTGAAATTTATTGTCATAATCTTATGCCACACAAGTCTGAGCCTGGGTTGATTACTTTCCATGGATCAGACAGACTGGCACATTGACCGCAATGCATTCTCAAAAAGACAGCCCTGAATTTCTCATTACCTTTCTAAATGTGTAGACATTAAGTGTGTGACAGTAAGGGAGTGTGGTTTCTTTATTGTCAGAGTGAGTACATCGCCCCCAGAGATGCGCGGTTGGCCTGGATGTCTGGCTTCACTGGCTCTGCAGGTGTGTTTCGCAGCCAGCCAATCATTATATTGCTGCATCACTATTCATCATTCTCACACACATTACGCTTGTCACTTCTTTGGGCTTCGACAAACGGCCTGTTCCTGTCTTGCATCATAACTAGCACAAGTCTGTTTCTAATAGGCACAGCAGTGATTACTCAAAACAAGGCTGTTTTGTGGACCGATAGCCGCTACTGGATTCAGGCACAGAGACAAATGGACTGCAACTGGGAGCTACAGCAGGATAGTGAGAAAACAGATTATTTAAAACTTGTCTAAATTAATTTCAACATTTGGATGTATGTGAGTTGCTTTGTTTTATGTCCCACAATTTTCCACAGGTTCCATCCGCAGCATCACCAACTGGCTGATCCTGGAGGTCCCTGAAGGGGATCAGGTGGGCTTTGACCCATTCCTCTTCTCTGTAGGTGAGTGAACACAAGCAAGCAAAACATTTGCTGAGAGGTTTGAAATTATTACCAATTTAGTTTCGAAACAGAGAGACATTGCCATTTATTATTGTTTTTTGTTTTGTTTTTGTTGTAAATGACATGATAACTATATACTCATTTTTTTATTTTTCTCTTCTGTTTAAATGTACAGTGTTACTTTTGCAGCTTTGTAAACTATTTATTTTAAGGGTTACAGTATCATATTTGAAAACTTTAGTTCATCTGTAAGGTAGCTGTGTGAACATAAACAACATCTCTGAATGTAATACGCTCAAAGTTCAATTCAAAGGGAGACATTGGCTTTTACAGAGTTAGATTAGCAAAGCAAATTTTGGGTAATACAAAAAATTTATCTGGTTTAGTGAGATCGCAAATTCTTCAGGTTATGCGCATTCACCCCACGCATCGAATGAGCATGGCCAGAGGTGCTGTAATGTTATAGCAGTGAAAGCTAAAATGGCATCCAAACGCTGCTTTTCCATAGAGCGTCTTCTGTTTCTGTATTTGGGCTTCCAAAGAACACGACACAAAGAGAGACATGCTTACAATTTAATTTAATTATGTTCCAGAGAACTTTAAAAAATATATACTATAACTACCATTTGACAAAGGATAGCTTCCAGAATCTCTCCCAGTTCAGTGCTGGATTTGGCTAAAACTTTTTAAAGAAGGAGCAGCTCCAACCATAATAGACAAAGCTGTGGATTGTGCGTCACAACCTGTCAGTATTTTAATTTGTTCAAATTGATCTATTACATGCACAGTTTCTAGCGTTAGCAGTATGTTGTAGCAAGGATGTAAACAAGAATTTAAAAAATGGGATATTCTGTTTTGGCACCGTTACCAATTTAGCTACAAACTCATATTTATCCGTCTAACCGCTGTAAACACCCTGTAAAAAATATTTAACAGTGCTGCATTGTCTCTCTATGGGGCTGCTTTCCCTGCGTTCTACATTTCAAATAACCAACTCACAAAAGATATGTGAATGTTTCATATAACTTACACATGCTTATTCTGCATATATGTGAAGGATACTTTTCAGATTTTATTTTAAAGAGCAGGCATGAGGTTCAGCTGTGTCCTCTGTGTCATTTTCTGTTTGATTCAGGCTCAAACTGATATGGATAACAGCTGCTATTACCAACAGTGTTTACACAGCACAAAAGTGCGTGCTTGTAGAGGCATGCCACTTTTTCTGGTGACGTGCAGCCAATCAGCGAATTGCAGCACATTATGTTAGCTGACCAATCAGAGCCTCTTGAGGACGAGCCTTTTAGAGGAACTAGGAAATGTTCTTTTTCGTTGTTTCGTTGGTCGTTTTCATGTTAGCAGAGTAGCTGTATATAATCAAAGTAAGATTTATGAAAAAATAATGTGATTTTCTACAAATGAAGCATGAGCACACCTATTTTGCATCTTATAAACATAACCAAGCCTTGAAAATACACTCTGGACCACCCCTTTAAAATGAGTTGAAACAACACAATTCTTAAGCTTGTTTTTAGGACAACATAAATGTTTTGTGTTCAATCCACTTAATTATTTAGTTAATGGGACAACATGAAGGAATTGTGTGTGTCCCAGAATTTTTTACTGTGTAAAAGTTTTTTTATGCAAGTTTATAATACTGTAAGAGTTTCAACTTATTTATGGCTACTATAGCATTTGATATTATTTCTAAATAGATTAAATTCTAAAACAAAACCAGTGCAGTGTAATTGTGGTTTTTCCTTTTCTCTTAAAGATGCAAGTTTTACATTGTGCAGATTCTAGTCAGTTGCCTCCTATTTCAAGTATGAAAACATTGTATATGTACATTGTGTTATTGTTTATCCCATGCAATTAATGCATGTCTCTGAATATTCAATTCAATTCATCTTTATAGCATTTTTACAATGTAGATTGTGTCAAAGCAGCTTCACATAGAAGATTATAGTGAATTTGAAACAGTGTAGTTCAGTTTTCAAAGATTAAGTTTAGTTAAGATTAGATTAGTTCAGATCAGTTAAGTTCAATGTGTTTTAATATTCACTGCTGAGAGTCCAAACATAAAGTCCCAAACTACGCAAGCTAGTGGCGACAGCGTTGAGGAGAAAAAAAAAATTCACCAATGGGCAAAAGTGAAATTAAAAAAAAAAAAACTCCAGAGAAACCTGGCTTAGTTGGGCATGACCATTTCTCATATGGCAAAATGTCTTATGGAGAGCTGCAGTCTAGGCACCGGAGGCTAGAGAATGCTGGATGTCAGCGAAGACTCATAGGAATCAGTCTCAGGCTCTCTACTCCTCCATGACCACCACAGCAATTGCTACGGCTGGTCCGGTAATGTGGAAATCTTGGGATCATCTCTACACAGGTCTTGGATCGTGTCAGTGGCACTGCATAATTTCTGGGGGCCACGGGATGAGTATCCCCAGATGGAAATAGAGAATAAAGAGAATAATTAGCATAGCTGCTGTTCTTAGTGTATATAAACGAGATGCAAAAACCTGCGTGGGGCACATTCATGCATCATACCAATATGCATTGAGTGTATGCTTTACTAAAAAGATAGGTGTTTAATCTAGTTTTGAACTGCGAGAGTATGTTTGAGCCTCGGACATTATCAGGAACGCTTTTTTTAGAGTTTAGAAGCCATAAATGAGAAGGCTCGACCTCCTTTATTTGACTTTGCTATTCTAGGTACTACCAGAAGCCCTGAGTTTTCAGATCTTAAAGATTGGGTTGGATTGTAGCGAGACAGGAGGTTGGTTAGATAAACAGGAGCTAGATTATTTAAAGCTTTATAGGTAAGAAGCAATATTTTAAAATCAATACAGAATTTAACAGGCAGGTAGTGTAAGGAGGATAAAATTAGGGTGATATGATCCTGTTTTCTAGACCTGGTAAGAACTCTGGCAGCTGCATTTTGTACTCGCTGAATAAGTGAGGTATTTATAAAATGTTTAATTGAAAATGTTAATGTTACAGTATGATCTACCCTATTTTAAAAGCCAAAATTATGATTTAAAATCCGACAGAGATAGAAATGTATCTTCATATTTACAGCTAAAAAATAAGACAAGTAAAACTTGTCTGGTAAAAGAGACAGACCAGTTTGAACCCTCTTTTTTCTAGATTAGTTTCTTATTTTCATCATTTCATATCGAGTGTTTATTAAAATAAAATGAAGAACTTAGAAAAACTGTAAAAACTATATTAATCTGTTTTTTCTAAGCACCATATCATCTGCCAATTAAATACAGTCACTCCTTAAAGCTGAATGGATTTTGATTGACTTTCATCTTTTACCTCAGCTGAGTTAAAAAAATTGTTTTGTAAGTTTTTCCTATGAAATTACTGAGCTGCTATGCTTTTATTGTATCCTATTTGGATTATTTAGTACTATATATTTATTGTGACCATACTACTTATCTTTCAATATTTATATACAGTATATGACATGATGATAGTATGTGAGATTGGTCAGGCAGTGCAAATATAACAAAATCTCTGATCTCCGTTGTTGCAGACACATTTGACATCTACAACACCAACCTGGCTCCAGCAGACCTGATCCTGAAGTCTATTTCTGATAACCTGGTGGATAAAATATGGACAGACCGACCTCCTCTGCCTCCTGACAACCCCACGCGCTTACCTGACAGTGTCATCGGTGTGTGCATGTCTTATCAGCATCACTTGACTGATAAGTAGCAAGCGAACAGGGCAGAGGACCATAAGATCATGACAAACAGAGCACTAAATCTCTTCTTTAATGACCAGTGATATAGCTTACAGTAGACAGAGGGCATTTTCTAGCTCATTCTGGTGTGAGGAGAAAGTCAATGAGGCACAGTTAAAGGGATAGTTTGGTTGTTGGTCCAGGCGTATGATAAATTCTTTATATTCTGCTTGTATTTATTAAGCAAATCAAATGTATTTCTTCTGCTGAACATAAAGGAAGTTAATTATAAAGAAATAAAATAGTAATCAAATATTTGTTTTAGTTTGAACTGACTTTAAAAAATACTACAGATGTCAGTGGGGACTGAAAACTATTTGGTTAGCTACAGTTGAAGTCAAAATTATATATTTTTTCTTTTTCAAATATTTTCCAAATGATGTTTAACAGAGCAAGGAAATTTTCACAGTATATCTGACATAATATTTGTTTCTTCCGGAGAAGGTCTTATTGTTTTACTTCGGCTAGAATAAAAGCAGTTTTAAATTTTTTAAATACTATTTTAAGGTCTAAATTATTAGCCCCCTTAAGCAATATATTTTTGATAGTCTACAGAACAAAGCATCAATATACAATAAATTGCCTAATTATCCTAATGCCGAGTTCAGATTTTAGCTTTGATTTTAACTTGCCAACAGGTTTTGAGAAATCGCAGACAAATGCCTGAACACTCAGGCAAATCGGTGCTCGTTCACATGAGTAACAGTCACATAGTGTGAACTATCAAATACGCGATCTGAGAGAATCGCCGACACCCGTGAGATTTTCAGCATGCTAAACATTTGAAGCGGTTGGCTATTCAAAATGATGTCATGTAAAATGTGTTCTAACATCGCGGTTACCTACAGCCAATGAGAGACCAGCATCCACTACTATGGGTATCTGCAGGCCAGCAGGGGGTTGGGGGGAGAAGTTAAAAGCGCTTATTTTCAGTCTATTTGGACCCAAGAAATGGAGGAAAAACTACTGGAAATTTGGCAAAAACAATTGTGTCTGTTTGACATGTCATCTGAGCTATATTTCGGGTCCAAAAAGGTTGTGAGAAATTGCTAATTCCCTTCAAATGAGACAGAGTTGTCAGCATTTCTTCCTATTGTAAAGTCATGCAGTGTGGCACCCCATGTCACTGATCCATCTTGAAGTGTAAATACAGTAGCGATGGAATGCTACCCCAGGTAGTCATGCAGTGTGAAAACATGCAGTCTGAACTTGGCATAACTTGCCTAATTAACCTAGTTAAAGTTTTAAATGCACTTTAAGCTGAATACTAGTGTTTTGAAAAATATCTAGTAACATATTATTTACTGTCATCATGGCAAAGATAAAAGAAATCAGTTGTTAGAAAAGGGTTATTAAAACTGTTTAGAAATGTGTTGAATAAAATCTTCTCTCTGTTAAACAGAAATTGGGGAAAAAATAAACAGGGGGGCTAATAATTCAGGAGGGCTAATAATTCTGACCTCAACTGCACATTCTTCACAATATCATCGTTTGTGTTCAGCAGAAGAAAGAAACTCATGCAGGTTTCATACAGCTTGAGAGTGAATAAATCATGAAATATTTTTCTTTTTGTGTGAACTAACTAGGCCTCGAGATTTTAATGGTTTCAAGCTTCAAATAAGACACAAAGAGAATTTTAAAATTATTTGGGCTCTTTATTCCAAGCTTTCAGAATTTGTAAAACTGTGTGGGACTAATTTAATTTCTTAGCCAATGTGGTACACTTCAGAATGAATCAGTCTGTTTCATTAATCGATTTAAGAATTGCTGAATAATAACTGTGCTGAGGATAAGCTGATTCAATGAAAAGATTTGGATAATCATTCATGAATTTAATTTTCTGCCATAATTTACTCCAGACAGTACGGTGGCCTAGTGATTAGTGATCTGGTTAGAGTTCTGGCTGGGTCAGTTGGCATTTCTGAGTGGAGTTTGCATGTTCTCCCTGTGCTGGCGTGGGTTTCCTCCGGGTGCTCCGGTTTCTCCCACAGTCCAAAGACATGTGGTATAGGTCAATTGAGGAAACTAAATTGACCTTAATGTATGTATGTGAATGTGAGTGTGTATGGGTGTTTCTCAGTATTGGGTTGTGACTGGAAGGGCATCCGCTGTGTAAAAATATGCTAGAATAGTTGCCGGTTCATTCCACTGTGGCGACAACTGTAAATAAGGAACTAAGCCAAAGGAAAATGAATGAATGAATGAATTTACTCCATTTGTTTCAAAAACAACTTGACTTTATTCTGTTGAACACAAAATACTATGCATGAAAGAACATTGGAAACCTGTATCCATGGTCTAGTTTATTTATGGATTTCAGTGGCTACCAATTTCCATCATTCGTCAAAATATATTCTATAAACTTTGGCTGTTCATAGAAAAGTGGTTGGGATAGTAAATAATGTCAGAATCCTTATGTTAGTGTGAACTCTTTCTTTGAAATGTGAAGTAAATGCTATTGTGACTGTGTGTGTGTTTGTTCTGTTGTTCAGAAAGGACCTGGCCAATGAAAGTGGAGCAAATACGAGCCCAAATAATTGACAATCCATACAAGCCCACTGCTGTGCTACTTTCTGCTCTGGACGAGACCGCATGTAAGCACATCACAAACCCACAAACTCATGCTGGAGATCTTCTCTAAATCCTTGGTTAAATCGCTCTCTATTTTCAGGGCTATTTAATCTACGAGGCAACGATGTCCCTTATAATCCATTCTTCTATTCTTACACTCTGCTGTCGATGGATGACATATGGCAAGTTTCTCCATTTCACATGAACAGCACTATACTTAGCTGGTGTAGAGTTTCTGACTAACTAACCTCCTTCATCAGGCTCTTTGTGCACACAGAACGAATAACAGAAGAGCTGAAGGTGTATTTGAATGCTTCGTGCTACCAGTCGCTCTGTGTTCATCTGCTCGAGTACAGCTCTGTGCGCACGTATCTGCAGTCATATCTGCAGAGACCCAACGTCAGGGTTTGGGTTGGTACAGAGTACACCAACCAGGCCCTATATGAGCTCATTACTCCTGAGGTAAGACCTGGATCCAAAATACTTGTATGCACATATAAGCTTTGTAGTTATCTGTGGGTTGAATATATTTTAGATATGGTTACACAGAGGTTCTCTGGTGTTAATAATACTCAATGTTTAGAAATAATGAACTGTATTAACTGTAATAAACTGATATGTTCCCCATATGGCTTTCTAAAGACACACAAGCCTGTGCACTCACATCTGTGGAGAAAGTTTAGTTATGCTATATACATCAGACACACATCACAGTGGGATAAAATTAGATATAAGTGAAGCTGTATCTATTTTTGACACACTGCACAGCTGATCAGCCACTTTATTTTGCCCTTTCAAGTTTGAAATGCAGTGAATGGATGGTAGGATAAACAGATAAACTGAAGAATGGATGAAAGAATAGATAGATGGCAAGGAGGGAGAGACAGGCAGATAGATAGATAGATAGATAGATAGATAGATAGATAGATAGATAGATAGATAGATAGATAGATAGATAGATAGATAGATAGATAGATAGATAGATAGATAGATAGATAGATAGATAGATAGATAGATAGATAGATAGATAGATAGATAGATAGATAGATAGGCAAACAGATAGAGAGGATGGATGGATGGATGGATGGATGGATGGATGGATGGATGGATGGATGGATGGATGGATGGATGGACAGACAAGTAGACTAAAGAATGGTTAAAAGACTAATGGATAGATAATACACTGGCGGATACACAGATGGACACACTTATTGAGGATAGAAGGATAAATAGGCTGCCAAATCGTGAATGGATGGATGGAACGAGGGAGAGATAGACAGAACGGCAAACAGATAAACAGGACAGAAGATTGGATGGTAAGATGATAGATAGATGATGGACAGAAAGACTGAAAAATGGATGAAAGGATGGATGGATGATAGAGAGACAGATGGAAAGGCAATAGATAGAATATATGGATAGATTTTCAGACTGATGGACTGAAAGATAAAAGAAAGATCTAATATCTCTAATAGAAAAATGATGGATGGATGGATGGATGGATGGATGCAGGTTTGAGTGATAGACAGTGGATATACAAATGTATAGAGAATGGATCAATGGATAAACAAGAATGAACGAAAAAATAGATAATGGATGGATGGATGGAAGGATGGGTGGATGGGCGGACAGAAAGTTGGATGCATTGATAGATAGACAGAAAAATAGATAAATAGATTGCTGGAACTAATACTGTGACCCTGACTAATATTGTGATTTGAGTCCTACATAACAGATGAGCTTTTCTGATCTCTTTCAGGACAAACTACTGACCAGCACCTACTCTCCTGTACTGACCACTAAAGCAGTAAAAGATATGACGGAGCAGCGGATTCTCAAAGAGGCTCATGTGAGAGAACACACACACACTCACACACACACACACACACACACACACACACACACACACACACACACACACACACACACACAGACTGTCTTCTCCCCGAATGATTTCTGCAAAGCAGCCATAACCTGATGGACAGTGTTCACTGATACCTGTGTTGAAGTATTTTCGAGATTTAAAGGCACTTTATCACATCATAAAGCCACATTAGAAGGCCAGACAGACAGACTCCATTCACTGCAACTCCATAAACTCAATCAGTGTGTTATCACTCCTTATCATAAACCCTTCCTCAACATATTGGGATCTATTTTAATGATGGTGTTTGCTTGCATTCAGTGTTGAACTTACATATTTTTCAGAATGGGATTTTATATCTTAAACGCAATTGATAGTGTGCAAGGACAACAGTCTTCATTCTGTTGTAAAAGAGACAGACCTCAGTTGACTGCATTTAATTAAACCTCTCCGTCTGGCACCCGTCTGCTGTCAAGCAGGAGATTTAGTTCTTATCGGACACAATGAGTGAACATGCACTGTGCTTTACCACAGGTTAGAGATGCAGTCGCAGTCATGCAGCTTCTCCTGTGGCTTGAGAAGAAAGTTCCAGAAGGCGCAGAGACTGAGATTACAGCAGCTCTATATGCTGATCAGTGTCGCAGGTACACAAACAGCAAATTTTACCCCTCATCACTCATACTATATATATATATATATATATATATATATATATATATATATATATATATATATATATATATATATATATATATATATATATATAACAGTGTTTGTTCATGTTAGTTAACGTTAGTTATTGAAAATACAGTTGTTCATTGTTAGTTTATGGTAACTCCTGGTGCATTCACTAATGGTAACAAACATCAATGTTATATTTTAATAATGCATTAGTAAATGTTGAACTATAATTAATAGATGCTGTACAAGTATTGTTTATTATTAGTTCATGTTAGTAAGTACAAAAACTAATGATAACTTATTGTAAAGTGTGACACTTATGTTTTGAGCTAGCAACCTCAAATTCAGAAATATATATTTAACAACAAATTGAATAAAATAGCATAATAGCAATAGTTTCATAGCATTCAAAATGTACTGTTTAAGCTGGAAATTCCATCTTTATGTACTGTATATGCTCAAACATCCACTAATGAGTCATTAACTACTGCATACACATAATTTAGTACCATTCAATTCCTTTTAAAACACAAAATATTAAATAAAAAAGGTTTTTGAGCTAAAATGTAGTACAATCATTTGATTAAAGTAAAAATATTTTAAAATGACTCATTTTTGACCTCTATGTGAACAGTTCATATTATATTTACTATGTAAAAACTGTAGCTAAAACTACATTCATTATAAGTGTAAAACTGTGTGCTTTTTTGCTAAATATTTGTACAAACTACAAATGTAGCTTCTTCACATTTGACAATTAATTTTGACAATTATTTTTAAATGGTTTTAGCAGTTAACTCTGACTAGTTATATTTTTAGTTATCTAGTTATATTTTATTTAGTTGTTGTTTAATAAATAATACAAAATAATACTATAAAATCTAATTGGAACTTAGGGTATCTGTCTTGAAAGATATACACATTGTGGCATATTTAAGTCAATAGACAGACTGTAGCTCACCTTCTTTGAACTTTCATTGTTGGCTTTACACAAGTAGAACAAGTTCCTGCATCAAGGATGTTTTTTCTTTCATCTTCTGAAAAATGTTTTACTGGTGTAAATTGCTTTAGGCTGTATTACTTCCTTTTTCTAGAGAAACACAAATCCTTCAATGTGTTTTGACAGCAAACAGAAGAACAGCCGAGGGCCGAGTTTTGAAACCATTTCTGCAAGTGGACCCAATGCTGCTCTTGCTCACTACAGGTAATTTCATTGTTTATTATGTAAATTCAATGTATTCGTATCTAGCATAACAGTTCATAATGCTATCTGAAAAACTTGGTAGACATCTTTTTTATGTCAAGGATCGAACATGTAGCTTCATGCTGGAATTAATGTTTTCTATCTGTAAATAGAGCTGACGGTGACATTGATTAGTGCTGCTTTACTGCTGAAAACCTTTTAAATGTCATTCTAACAACAAGCAGAACAGAACAAATTGCAAATATAGGACAACTGGCCATTTAAGAATGACCACAGTCTTTCTTTAGATCACTGCATTGTTTTTGTTTATTACAGTCCATCTAATGACACTGCAAGGAAGCTGACAGTGGATGAGATGTATCTTGTTGACTCCGGAGGACAGTACCTGTGGGTTTCATTGCCGTACACTATACATAGTTCTGTTTATATGCAAAATACATACCATTCTGTCAGATTTATGTTCACTAATTCTGTCTTACAGTGACGGCACTACTGATATAACGCGTACTGTGCACTGGGGTAAACCCACTGACTTTCAGAAGGTACTAACCAGCTTAGATACTGATGATACAGAGCACAGGAAGATGCTTATATTTAGAGCACTGAAATAAAAATGACTCTTCTTTACATTTTATTCTAACAGGAGGCCTACACAAGGGTGCTCATGGGAAATATAGAGATTTCAAGAACCATATTTCCTGCTGGAACCAGAGGTGAGCATCTATGGCAAGCTATTTTAACTTTGTGGACATTTATTTTTTGTATTTAAAGGATGAAACCTGCAGCTTCATGCTAGAATTCAAGTTTTCTGTCTCTAAATAGTTAAGTCACACCTACTTTGATTGGATTGGCTGTTTCAGTTGGTTGATATTGATTAGTGCTGCTCCACTGCTGAGGCTGAACAGCTTCAAATGTCATTCTAACAATAAACAGGACAGAACTAATTACAAATGTAGGACAATTTGGCCATTTTGTGGACATTTAATCTGCATTGTAATTGCAGTAAAAGGGATAGTTCAGCCAAAATTAAAACGCTACTATAGACCATTTCAATGTATAATATAATACAATATAATGATAATTGTATAATTATTATTGTATAATTGTATAATAATAATATAAACATTTTCTGCTTGTTATCAAACTATTTCATAACTGTAACAAGAGGCAGTTCAATCATAACTTAATGTTAAAACAGCCATCATACCATTATTTATCAATATGTGGCTCTTTTTGGATTCTTGGAAGCTATAGAAATTAGAAATGTAAAACATGAAATGCGATGGGGCCATTGCTTTTGTTTAGATCCCTCAAAATGATTTATAATTTACTCACCAATCAACTTCTGTCTAAACCTAGGTTTTTTTTCTTTTTCAAAACAAAAGAAGATATTGTTAAAAATGCTGGTTGCTGGGACCAAATTACTAGACAATTACCTGTACTTAAATGTTAAACCACGGTATCTTTTTTATTTTATTATTATATTATTTTCATTTTATTATATTAACTAGTGCTACTTCTTATGTTACTAGTCACAACTGCTTTTGAACTAATCTTGATATGACTGGTCAGAATGGCCACAGTTCAATAAAATATCTTAGTACAATGAAAAAGCTTACTAGCAACACTTGGAGTAATACTAGTATATAACAAATGTTTACTAGTATCTATTAAATAACACTAGTATCTGTTTCATTGGTATGAGTGTATATTATATATGTACTAGCGTATACTCAATAATTAGTGTGATTAATAAGTGCTAGTGTCTATTTAACAAGTACCAAGATCTCAAGAAATTTATATATTTGCTATAGAGGATGTGCATCAGTCATGTTTTTCCACAAGAGGGCGCTCAATCCACAGCAGACTCTGACCACCTTAAACGCTGATTTTCTGACTATTTCTTTGTTTTTATTTCCATCACAGGGGTATACATGGAGATGCTGGGACGAAGAGCATTGTGGGAAGTTGGCTTAAATTACGGTCATGGCACTGGTCATGGTGTGGGGAACTACTTTGGAGTTCATGAATGTGCGTCTAGTATTTTTTTCAACAGTCTTCTCATTTACACACTATTTACGTTTATTTATGACGGTTTTTTTTACATTTAAATACACTATATAATTATTTTTAAATGCTTTTACTTTTCAAGGATGCATCTGGCTCATCTAAAGTAGCAAGAAAGACCGTTGAAATGTTCAGAATAATCACTAGATTAGAATTATGGACCATAAAAGAGGTAGAAATTATGCTGAAAATTCAGCTTTGACGCAACAGAAATAAATCAGATTTTAAAATGTATTAAAATGAATAATGGTTATTTTGTAATAATAATAATTTTGTAAAAGATTACTGTTTTTACTGTATTTTTTATCACATAAATGCAACCTTGGCTAGCAAAAGGAACATGAAACCTATTTTATTGTTAACTGTGTTTGTCTTTGGCAGGGCCTGTGGGTTTTCAGTCCAATAATATTCCATTTCAAGAGGGAATGTTTACCTCAATTGGTGAGAAATTCTCAAGAATATCATTATGATTGCCATCTTTTTGACAATTACACTTTTAATCTGACAAACTCTTCTCTAGAGCCTGGCTATTACAAGGAAAATGACTTTGGTATTAGGATAGAGGACATTGCTGTCACTGTTCCAGCTTCTACAAAGGTAAACCCAAATAACTGTGCATCCAGAATTTTGCAAATCCAGCGATGATAACTAAAAGCCGTGAGTGCCTTGAAATGAATTGCCTTAAATGTTTTCTAAATTTACTTAATTGTTTGTGCCTTTTAGCATAGCAGCAAGTACCTGACGTTTGAGACTGTTTCACTGGTGCCTTATGACAGAAACTTGATAGACACATCTCTTCTAAATCTTGAGCAGGTATGGTAACAGTAGTATTTTAATAACAACATTTAAACATGTATATTTGAAAAGGTTTTGTAGGGGGGAGAGGTCCTTGCACTTTTTTTTTTTTTTTGGTACTATTGCTTTTAGAGATAACAAACATTTAGTGCTGGGCAAAGATTAATCGCAAAATAATCCAAAATAAAAGTTTGTTTTTTCAAGACATAAACTTACTGGCCACTTAACGCAGATTTCTTATCAGCTAATCACATGGCAGCAACTCAAAGGATTTAGGCGTATAGACACAGTCAAGATGATCTGCTGCCGTTCAAACAGAGCATCAGAATGGAAAGAAAGGTGATTTAAGTGACTTTGAATGTGGCATGATTGTTGGTGCCAGATGGGCTGGTCTATTTCAGAAACTGCTGATCTACTGGAATTTTCTCTAAGGGTTACAGAAAATAGTTAGAAAAAGAGAAAATATCCAGTGAGCGGCAGTCCTATGGGCGCAAATGCCTTGTTGATGCCAGAGGTCAGAGGTGAATGGCCAAACTGGTTCAAGCTGATAGAAAGGCAACAGTAACTCAAATAACCACTCGTTACACCTGAGGTATGCAGAAGAGCATCTCTGAACACACGACACATTCAACCTTGAGGTGGATGGGCTACAGCAGCAGAAGACCACACTGGGTGCCACTCCTGTCAGCTAAGAGTAGGAAACTGAGGCTACAATTCACACAGGCTTACCAAAATTAGACAATTGAAGACTGGAAAAACGTTGCCTGGTGTGATGAGTCTCGATTTCTGCTGCGACATTTGGATGATAGGGTCAGAGTTTGGCTTCAACAACATGAAAGCATAAATCCATCCTGCCTTGCATCAATGGTTCAGGCTGGTGGTGGTGTAATGGTGTGGGGGATATTTTCTCAGCTAAATTTTAAAATTTTAAATTTTAAGTATCAATTGAGCATTGTATCAGTGCCACAGCTTACCTGAGTATTGTTGTTGACCATTTCCATCCCTTTATGACCACAGTGTACCCATCTTCTGATGGCTACTTCCAGTAGGATAATGCACCATTTCACAAGGCGCAAATCATCTCAGACTGGTTTCTTAAACATAACAATGAGTTCACTGTACTTAAATGGTCTCCACAGTCACCAGATCTCAATCCACCTTTGGGATGTGGTGGAACAGGAGATTCACATCATGGATGTGCAGCCGACAATTCTGCAGCAAATGTGATGCTTTCATGTCAATATGGACCAAAATCTCTGAGAAATATTTCCAGTACCTTGTTGAATCTATGCCACAAAGGCAGTTCTGAAGGCAAAAGGGGGTCCATCACGGCACTAGTAAGGTGCACCTATAAAAAGTGGCCAGGGGGTGTATGTGTGTGTAATATATATGTATATATACAGTTGAATTCAGAATTATTAGCCCCTTTTTGATTTGATTTAATTTTTTTTTATATTTCCCAAATTATTTTTAACAGAGCAAGGAAATTTTCACAGTATGTCTGATAATATTATTTCTTCTGGAAAAAGTCTTATTTGTTTTATTTTGACTAGAATAAAAGCAGTTATTAATTTTTTATAAATCATTTTTGGGACAAAATTATTAGCCCCTTTAAGATATTTTTTTTCCGATTATCTTCAGAACAAACCATCATTATACAATAACTTACCTAATTACCCTAACCTGCCTTGTTCACCTATTAACCGAGTTAAGCCTTTAAATGTCACTTTAAGCTGTATAGAAGTGTCTTGAAAAATATCAAGTAAAATATTATTTACTGTCATCATGACAAAGATAAAATATATCAGTTATTAGTAATAATTTTTTAAAACTATTATGCTTAGAAATGTGCTGAAACAATCTTCCCTCCATTAAACAGAAATTGGTGAAAAAAATAAACAGGGGGGCTAATAATTCTGACTTCAACTGTATATATATTTTTTCATTTATTATGTTAATGTAATGCACAAACATATATAAAAATATAACTATACAAAACTCTTTTTGCACAAACACACACACACACACACACACACACACACACACACACACACACACACACACACATATATATATATATATATATATATATATATATATATATATATATATATATATATATATATATATATATAGTTGAAGTACAGTATATACAGTTGAAGTCAGAATTTTTAGCCCCCCTGTTTATTTTTCCCCACAATTTCTGTTTAACGGATAGTAGATTTTTCAATACATTTCTAAACATAATAGTTTTAATAACTCATTTCTAATAACACATTTGTTTTACCTGTGCCATGATTACAGTAAATAATATTTGACTAAATATTTTGAAAGACACTTCTATGCAGCTTAAGGGGCATTTAAAGACTATGTTAATTAGGTTACTCGGCAGGTTAGGGTAATTAGGAAAGGAATTTTATAATGATGGTTTGTTCTGTAGAATATCGAGAAAATAATTAAGCTTTAGGGGCTAATAATTTTGACCTTAAAATGATTCTTAAAAAATAAAAACGGCTTTTATCCTAGTCAAAATAAAACCAAAAAAACTTTCTCCAGAAGAAAATATATTATCAGACATACTGTGAAAATTTCCTTGCTCTGTTAAACATTGTTTGGGAAAAATTTCAAAAAGAAAAAAAAATCAAATGGGGCCTAATTATTTTTCAAATACATGCCTACATTTGTGTATTTATTTATACATAATGTATATATACAGTACATACATATATGCAATTATCCTTGCCCAGCACTTAAATTATTTGAAAGATGTTTTTTATTAATTAGAAATGTTAAACACACACAAACGTACACACTATATGTAAAAAGTAAGAAAGGTTAGATTTTAAAATGTTTTTTAAAGAAGTATCTTCTGCTCTCCGAGCTTGTGTTTATTTGATCCAAAGAACAGCAAAAACTGTAAATAAATAAATTTATAAAACTAGAATACATTTTTAAAATATTTTTACTGTTTAAAATATCTGATTTCTATTTTAATATATTTAAAAATGTTATTTAATTCAAAGCTGAGTTTTTGTATTCATCAAAAAATCCAGAAAACAATTACACATCAGTTAATAAATATAGTATTTATTAAAGGAAATATTACATACATTATTTATTACAAAATGTTGTTATTATTAGCATTTTACAAATAATAATATATTCATTCATTCATTCATTTTTCTTTCGGCTTAGTGCCTTTATTAATTTGGGGTCGCCACAGTGGAATGAACCGGCAACTCATCCAGCATATGTTGTATGCAGCAGATGCCCCTCCAGCTGCAACCCATCACTGGGAAACATCCATACACACTCATTCACTACATACAATTTAGCTTACTGACCTAGCCAAGGCTCAAACCAGCGACCGTCTTGCTGTGAGGTGATTGTGCGACCCACTGCGCCACCGTGACGCCCCATAATAATAGTAATAAATTATTATTATTTAACAAATAACAAATAATAAATTATTCTGGGGCAGTGACAACAGATTTATAACCCCTTTTCTTCAGTTGTGGTAATTGTGTGGATGGTTTAGTTGCTCTAAAACTCAGAAATTATTTTATAATGAGCTGCTCATGTAAGAATATCTCAATAAAAGAATATTACAACACAGTCTTTAAAAAATGTGTGTTAAATCATTTGTTGTTTCAAGAAATCTTTTACACTTAACTTGCAGCTAGAGCCCTTTTTTCATTTGTACTCATTTGGTACCCGTAGCAGATCTCTGTTTAACTTCAAATGTTTACAGTAAAAAAAATCTGAAACATTTTAGTTCTGTCAAGAAAAAAACCTGTAAATAACCACATCTTTGTGTTGAAATGTGTTGTTTTCTGATGTTGGTTTCCTTTGAAAGAAACCCACATTTACTCTTCACTGGAAACACTTCCTGTGGCTTTGCACGTTTCTAAAACAGCCTTGTTTTCAGCAGGACTCAGTGATTGGCGGTGCTGATTAGCTGTCTTGACAGGGTTTTATTGTTGTTGTCTTGCAGTTGCACTGGTTGAACTCTTACTATGAGACAATCCGGAGTTTGGTCGGACCTGAGCTGCAGAAACAGGGCCTGAAGGAGGAATACGACTGGATGATGAAGCACACAGCCCCGTTCCTCATAGCGGGAGCTTCAGCTGTGGTCTCCTCAATCACACTCTTCTGCACAGTACTACCCTCTGTTTTACTGTATAATCTGCTGTAATAGACACCATCAGGTACAAACTCCAGTGCTGATTTACCCTGTGATCTGGTTGTTTATCAAGCCATTTTCTAAAGATTCCCCAAATCTTGTTAGGATTTAGCCCGTGTTTAAATTAGTGTTTGTATTATATAATATATTTTATGACAAAGTTGTTGCTTATATTTAATTAAGGTTCTTTAAAGGCACCATTAAAATATATGCATGTGTGAGCAGATATTATAAGACAATCTTTGTTGAATTATAGTTGTTTTTTTAATAGGATTACTTAACAATTCTTTAATTTACAGTCAGACTTTCTAATCATCAAACTGGACCAATTCACACACAGTGTCCAGACAGCAATAACACCCTCAACATGGGACTTCTAGCACACACAAAAAACTAGATTTCATAGATCCACTTTTTTTAAACATCTGGAAAACATCTCAACTAAAAAAACACACAAAATAGACATTTTTTTAAAATCTGCATTTTTATTGTGTGGTTTCAGTAACTTGCAGCGATGTAGATATGATCCAGATCATCCCATCACTTTGGTTGGCCCGTTTACGACTCAGAAACACTTTTAAAAATAAAGGTTATTTTTGGCATCACTGATTCCACAAAGAACATTTTAATTGCACAAAATGTTCTTTATAGTGGTCAAATTTTCTTTTGAATATTACAAACCTTCACACTAATAAAAAATATTTTTTTAGAACTGTGTGTTTTGGTATTTGTCAGATTTGGTTTGTTTAAAATGTAATTGTGAAAGTCTGCACTCAAAGCTTGGTGCATATATAATATATTTCTTACTTTTTTTCTCAGTAAGAAAAAAAGCTTTTCCTGCTCACCAAGGCTGCATTTTATTTAGTCAAAAATACAGTACAAATTGTAAAAAAGTGAGATGTTATTGCACTATAAAATAACTGGTCAAAAGTAGTTTATAATTGAATTTAATATTTGAGTGATTTTAAAAATGAATTTTCAGCTTTATTACTCTAGTCGTCAGAGTCATATGATCCTTCAGAAATCATTCTAATATTAATGATCATTATTGTTATTATTATCAATGCATAAATAAAGCAGTTATATCAAATTGTAATAAATATTTAACGATTTACCCTTTTTCCGCTTTGATGAATAAAATATTTTTTTTTAAAAAGGACAAAAAAAACATGAAAAACAAACTGACCCCAATCTTTTGACCGTGTGTGTGCATGCGTGTATGTGTGCATGTGTATGTGTGTGTGTGTAGTTAGAGTCAGAATTATTAGCCCCCTGTGATGTTTTTTTTCTTCTTTTTTTAATATTTCCCAAATGATGTTTGACAGAGCAGGGCAATTTTCACAGTATGTCTGATAATATTTGCTTCTCCTGGAAAATTTTGACTCGTTTTATTTTGACTAGAATAAAAGCAGTTTTACATTTTTCTTTTAATTATTTTAAGGTCAAAATTATAAGCCCCTTTAAGCTTTTTTTTTTTTTTTCAAACAAACCATCGTTATACAATGACTTGCCTAATTACCCTAACCTGCCTTGTTAACCCAGTTAACCTAGTTAAGTATTTAAATGCCCATTAAGCTGTATAGATGTGTCTTGAAAAATATCTAGTTAAATATTATTTATTGTCATCATGGCAAAGATAAAATAAATCAGTTATTAGAAATTAGTTAAAACTATTATGTGTAGAAATGTGTTGAAAAATCTGCTCTCCTTTATACAAAAATTGGTGATTTTTTTCCACACTGCTCTAGATATTAACTATATATATAGTGAGAGAAATTCCTGTTGCTCTTTTGATTAATTTACACATTTTATAAGACATTTATTGTTTTGTTTTGTTTTGTTTTTTTGGTCGAAATAAACCAGAAAATTATTCTACTTGTGCAGATTGGAGGGCGGGGCTAAAGAGACAATGGTGTCGAATGTCTGCACAGTGTCACCACACTAAGAAAAATACATATGAAACATTTCGTCAGCTCAGTTCTCATAAAAAGAGTTTTTTTTAGACAAACAAGACAGAAATTTCATTTTATAATTATATTTACATAACTTGCACAGTTGAACTTTCAACATCAAGAGTTGACAGAGTAGATCAAGATCCCATAATGCAATTCAAAACCAGAAAACAGCTGTGAATCACCAAACACAGAAACTGTTCGTTAATAAATCTTTTTTTCATCTCTGTAAAAAGTGTTTACATGACCTGAGAGCTGACCATAGTTTACAGCACTGACACGACAGTCCTGTTCTTCACACAGATATCAGAGCAGACTAATCTAAGAGTGCTTTCTGAGAAACAGACTTCCCTTTAGACAAGACAATACAGATCAAGAGGGTAAAACTAATAAGCTAGCAGTGGTCAGCATAGTTCCCCAGTAGATTTTGAGCATTGGGATTAAACGTGTTTTTGTTTTTTTCTAAAATGTTATGTTTATGTTATATATGTACATTTGTGCTAACATTTCTAGTACGTTAAATATTGTAATAAGTCAGGTTCAAAATTCTTTAATTGTTTAATTTTTCTGACATATTAAAGTCAAAGTCTTTTATAGGGGAGATTTTGAAAATCTCTTTTAAAATATTATGATAAGCAAAATAATTAAAATATTTTCACAACTTTTTGTAGACTTAAGTGCTGTATATAATCAGGCATGTGTATCTCTCAGTACAAAAGTCTGGCATGGTGTCTGTTAGAGCAGCTGAAAAGGAGATTCATGCATCATTCAGGATAAAAACTCATTTGGAGAAATGCGTATTGTTACAGACACAAGCTGATAATAGAAAAAATGACTATTCTGGCTATTTTCTTTCCAAAATACTCCTCTATGAAAAGGCAGAAAGGCCTGCACGGGCCTGATCTGCTGTCAGTAGTGCTGCTGCATGTGGAGCTCTGATGTCTGCAGATCTGCTGTTGCTTGGCAACATTTCCGTCAGAAGCGCAGTGAAGGTGTGAGTGTGGTTTGTGAACGTCCGCTCACATCTCTATCTCTGCTCTTTTGTTTGCCTGTTCCTCACCAACTAACAACAACTTTCGACATTGTTTCTCATCCCGATGGGTGATCTTGTACTTTTGTCCTGTTTTCTTCATTAGTCGAGGCTCTGCATGGCGTGACCAGACTTAAAGAGGAACTGCAGCAACAGGAGGTGTTGAAAACAATGAGCTCATTACAGCTGTCAGTGTGCTGTTCAACACAAAATGACTCTTCTTATCTAAAGGCATGTTACATGTGCTGTAGAAACACCAGCTTCATTGAGCCCAGATAGTTCATACTCATAGCAGGCTCATTTTTGGAGGGAGAGAAATAGTCAAGCATGAGGTGTAAAAAAACACACCAAAATAACTCTTTGCCAACTCACACACACACACACACACACACACACAGAAGCTTCCTCTATTGTCAGTCTCATCTGGCTGACTCTACATGCTCAGACGTCAGTCGCTGGTCTCAGGACACTGACTTCATAACTTTTATAAATCAGCAGCATCTTGCTTTTGTGACAGTAGTCTTGTTATATCATTACCTTTAAGGGCTCATGACACAGTAATTGCTATTAAGTGAAGTCTAAAAGGCTTTGTTATAAATATATGCATTCAATGTTTAAATATATATTTTATTTAAACTAAATTACTATTACAGTACATGTATCATTTATTTAAATCAAATCTATTTATTACATATTTTGAGTTATTTGTTCTTTTTGTTTTTATGTTTATTTCTATTATTTAATTTTTTTATGTCTTTTAAAATATATTATTGTATATTTGAAATAGCACGGTGGCGCAGTGGGTAGCGATCTCGCCTCACAGCAAGAGGGTCGCTGGTTCGAGCCTCGGCAGGGTCGGTTGGCATTTCTGTGTGCTTGTTCTCCCCGTGTTTGTGGGTTTCCTCCAGGTGCTCAGGTTTCCCCCACAGTCCAAAGACATGCTCTTTTGGGTAAGCTAAATTGTCCGTAGTGTATGTGTGTGAACGGAAGTGTATAAGTGTTTCCCAGTGATGGGTTGCAGCTGGAAGGGCATCAGCTGTGTAAAACATATGCTAAATAAGTTGGCAGTTCATTCAGCTGTGGCGACCCCTGATTAATAAAGGGACTAAGCCGAAAGGAAAATGAATGAATGAATATTTGAAATATGGCAGGGTGTCACAGTGGAGCAGTGGGTAGCATGATCGACTCATAAGCAAGAAGGACGTTGGGTCGTGCCTCGGCTGGGTTAGTTGGCTTTTGTTTGGAGTTTACATGTTCTCCCTGTGTTTTTGTGAGTTTCCTCCAGGTGCTTCGATTTCCCCAACAGTACAAAGACATGCACTATTGGTGAATTGAATAAGCTAAATTGGCCATAGTGTATGAGTGTGTAGGGGTGTTTCCCAGTACTGGGTTGCAGCTGAAAGGGCATCCGCTGCGTAACAACATATGCTGAATAAGTTGGCAGTTCATTCCGCTGTGGCGACCCCTGATTAATAAAGGGACTAACCCCCAAAGAAAATGAATGAATTAAATTTGGTGGCGCAGTGGATAGCACTGTCAACTCACAGCAAGAAGGTCACTGGTTCAAGCCCGGCTGGGTCAGTTGGAATTTCTATGTGGAGTTTGCATGTTTTCCCGTGTTTCCCTACAGTCCATGTGCTTTAGGTGAATTGGGTAAGCTGTAGTGTATGTATGTATGTCTTGGTCCTCCAGGATGGGGGTTGAGCAATGGGCTCCCACCTCGTAAAAATTAGATGTTACAAAACACCAACATGGTGCGACAAAATATCAACTTTGATATAAACAGCCCTGGGAGTAAGTAGGTAAGTATATTTGAAATATACTAAGTTGCAAATATACAAAAATAAAACTAGCATATTTAAATATATTTATATTTAATCTAAATCTGAATTTAAATATATTATATTTAATTTAAACATTAAATATATTAACATTTATGTAACATTCTTCTTATATTCATAACCTTTCTTTTAAGAGTATTTCTCTATTTTAATATACACTTAAAATATTAAATATGCTTAAATAATAAAAATCTATTTAAAAAAAATTATATATATATATATAATTTTATTTTTTATTTTATTTTATTTTTTATTCAATTTTTTTTTTTTTCTGGTTCATGACAAAATAATACAAACACATATTCTAAATGATCACTGGTAGGCCTGCTTAGCGTAAAACCCTGATGTATACAGTGGTTACTATGAACTAAAGTACAATATTATAAAAAAAAAGAACATCTCTAATTGTGTTAAAAGACATTGTCACATAAGGCCAAAAGTCTTCCTGCACTGTGATACATACAGGGACCCCTGCGTTGTCCTTATTATGTAATGTGTAAAGTAAACATTCATACGAAGCTGTTTTAGTCAATATATTGGCCAATTCTTTTAACTCTGGAATTTTGTGAGTTTTCTAGTGTTTTAAGATGACTCTAGCCATGTGTGTGTGCATATACTGTACAGTTGAAGTAAGAATTATTAGCCCCCTTTTTCTTTTCGTTTTAAAATATTTCCCAGATGATGTTTAACAGAGCTAGAAAATTTTCACAGTATGTCTGATAATATTTTTTCTTCTGGAGAAAGACTTACTTGTTTTATTTTGGCTAGAATAAAAGCATTTTTACATTAAAAAACAAAAAACTTTAGGGTAAACATTATAAGCCCCTTTAAGTTGTATTTAAGCCCCTCTATAAGTATGTTTTTTCTATAGTCTACAGAACAAACCATCATTACGCGATAACTTGCCTAATTACCCTAACATGCCTAGTTAACCTAATTAACCTAGTTAAGCCTTTAAATGTGACTTTGAACTATATAGATGTGTCTTGAAAAATATCTAGTAAAATATTATGTACTGTCATCATGACAAAGATAAAATAAATCAGTTATTAGAAATGAACAGAGGGGCTAATAATTCAGGGGTGGTATATATATATATATATATATATATATATATATATATATATATATATATATATATATATATTCATTCATTCATTCATTCATTCATTCGTTTTCTTGTCGGCTGTCTCCCTTTATCAATCCGGGGTCGCCACAGCGGAATGAACCGCCAACTTATCCAGCAAGTTTTTACGCAGCAGATGCCCTTCCAGCCGCAACCCATCTCTGGGAAATGTATATATATATATATAGTTGTTATATATATGTGTGTGTGTGTGTGTGTGTGTGTGTGTGTGTGTGTGTGTGTGTGTGTGTGTGTGTGTGTGTGTGTGTGTGTGTGTGTGTGTGTGTGTGTGTGTACATGAAGAAATATATAAGTGAAAAACTCCTTGTGCTCTTTTCTGAACTCCATTCTCCCTGAACTCCCTCAGCCTGAACTGTGCTCCACATATATAATGAATAGGTCATTAATGTTTCTGGTTTGTTGTTTTATCTGATATGTACCATCTCAACCAAAGCCACCTTTTAAAAAAAGAAGTTCCTGTCTAGTCATGTGACTTCCTCAAGCGTTTAGTTCTGCACTCCAGCGATCAGAGAAGCGCTTTTCTTCTGCCTCTTCCTCCGCTGGTGGCTTTTGTCTCTCTAACAGGAGCGAGACTTTCACACACACCTGACGGCTGGGAGACACTGACCACCATCATGTTACGACGGAAACCATCCAACGCTTCGGAAAAGGAGCAGAGCCAAGCACAGAAGAAGAAGGTAAGAGTTTGAATCTGCCACACATGAATGATGCTCCTGCAGGTCATCTATCACAGAATGTGCCAAAATAACTTAAAACATGACATTGTTGGTGACTTTTCATTTAGAGATGAGAATAGTTGTGCTATTGTTATTGGTTCCGTTTGACTTCAGACTTGTAACTTTTAGAGTTTAAGAACTGAAACCATATGATTGTTTTTGGTGAAATGCATGGCTGTGCAGCAGTTCCTGTAGACACATCAGACCGCACCACACATCCTGAAGAGCTGCTTCTTCACAAAAAAACCATCCACACTCGCCTCCTGAAGTCAAAGTCTCATTTACATACATCTTCACAGGCCGCTCCACTTCTTCTTGTTCTTGTTTTGCGGTTAACTGCTTTGACAGCATTACTCTTATTTTCCATTTGATTCAGATCTTGCGTGTAACAACGATCAGTTTCGATATTTCTCCTCTCTGAAACTGCAGGTGTTTGGTAAATGCATAAAACCCCAAGTGGAGTGAGATCTGACAGTCTTGCTGTTGTGCATTATGGTTGATGTTTTTATGCTTTCTTTTTTAAACCTTAGTCTTTTTCATATCATTATTCAGAGAAGTAGAGTGACATACAGTACAGGTGATGATCATTGTCATGGTGTAAATGAAAACTTTTCCACATCATCTCAAAAGTTGCAGCTTCCTCTTTGGTTAGAGTTTAGATTATGAGTAATAAGTCTGTCAAAATAAATATTTCAGCATCATATGATGATGATGATATGAACATTGTCACTGGGTTAGTAATAATAATAGGGAATTTTGCAATTATTCTAATGTAACACACTCAAAAATAATGACTTGCTGCTTGTTTAAACCACTTATTTAAAATGAGCTGCTAAGTTCTTTTGGGACAATTTGATTATTTTATGTTCAATCCACTTAAATTTGTAAAAATCAGTACGTTAACTTGATTGATTTGTGTTGGGACAACATTGGAATTATGTGGAGCCCAGCATTTTTTACAGTGCAATATGCAATACTGGAAATATTAAATAGACAGTTCACCCAAGAATGAATTAAGAAAGAATTAACTTTTTTTTTCACTCACCTTCAAGGGGTTTTAAACCGTCATGAGTTTCTGAACACAAAGGAACATATTTTGAAACAAGCTGAAAACTGGTAACCATTGACATCTACTGTAGGAAGTGCAAATACCATGGAAGTCATTGGTTACAGGTTTCCAGTTTTCCTATAAATGTCTTTTTTTGTGTTGAACAGAAGATTGAAACGGAAAAAAGCTTTATTTTAGGGTGAACTATTTCTTTAAAACAGATAGATCACCCCAAAATGAAAAGTTTGCCATCATTTACTCACCCTTCACTTTTATCCAAACCTGAGTTTCTTTCTTTAGTTGAACACATATACTGAAAATGTTAAGGATAGTCCAGTAAAACAATTTTGGGTAGAAGTACATAAACTAATAGAAAACCCTCAATATGACACTATACCCTTTCACTTCATAGTTATTTATTTTGGAAGCTCTGATATTCAGTAAATAAAGTCAATCTGAAAAATACTTGTGTAAATATACCGATGTATATTTAGTTTGTGATATTATTTATGTCACCATTTTATTGTTACTGTTATTTTCATATAATTTATTTCATGAATCTTTTGTATTGTGTTTTCTTACTTTATAGTTTGTAAAAAAGAAAAATGTTTAGCAATGGGAAATGTGCACTCTCTTAGTGAAATCGTTGTACTGTACACATTGCTACTATAAAATAAAATAAAAAAAAGATTTAAAAAAAAATATTGAGGGTAAAAGCAGCCAATGAAATCTGTAGTATATTTTTTCCTACTATGGATGTTAATTGTTTGTTTGTTTTAAAAAAAAGTGTTGTGTGTGTTAAACAGAAGAAAGAAATTCATTAAAGTTTCGAATCACTTGAGTGTAAGGAAATTTCCCTTTTTGTTTGTGAACTATCCCTTTAAACATAGACAAGATCAAACAGCAGCTTTTGTTTTCCCAGTATTGACGTCTTGCGTTTGGTTTTCTCCGTAGACTGCAGTCTGTTGTGTGATGTTGTCTAGATAGTGCACAGCTCTGCAGGGATTGGCTGCATGTTGGTTTTGAAAGACCCACTTCCTGTGCTGCAAAAAAGTGGCACAGTGAAAACTTCAGATAAGAGCAACAAGTCAAACTGGAACAAAGATGCCAAGCATCCCTCAAAACCCACACTGAATCACATTTATTAACAAAATGAAAATGTCTTAATCTTGAATGAATCGACTTTGGGTAAACTTTAACACGTCACACTGCACAATACAATCAACAATCTCACATTCTTAACTAACAATACAAACAAAATATGTAATTATTATTTTCATCTGAGGCGCAAGTTTTTTTGCTGACCTTTTATTTTAAGTCAAGTTGGCTTTATTGTCATTTGTAATAATATACAGTGCAATACACAGTGAAACGAAACAGACAAAAACCAAGATGGCAGAGCCTTACATTTCTGTGATGGAAGTATTCTCATAATTTTGAACACATGGAAGAAAAGGGGATTATAGTCTCAATGGACATTGGCTTAAAAATACAAAAGTAGCAAACACATTGCTTTCAACTTTCATTATTCTGTATATATGAAATGTAGAGCATCAGGAAGTTCTCAGACGGTAACATTATTCAAAATATTTATTTATTTATTTTTTTAAGGTAAATGAAGGTGTAGGTTATACATTGTCGTTAAAAGCAGAGCTCGTCTTAAAAAGAAAAAAGAAAGAAAAATACCTTGCAAGTTCTGTAGGGAAAAAAATCAAGCATCAACCAGGTAATAAAAAGCAACGCAAAAATAACTTAAAACTAACGTAACGTTACACAACTAGTTACTTTTTTGGGGAGTAACTCAATGCTGTAACACGTTACTTTGAAAAGTAACTTTCCCCAACACTGATAGGCACTGTATAATAGACATTTAGGTTGAGGTTAGTGTTTGTGGAATAAATCAGCATCTACTTGACTAGTCAGTAACTTGTCTGTTAAGATGATTAAAATGAAATGTTATCCGATATTAAGCAGAAAGTCTGTAAATGCTGTAATACTTCTAGCCCACATTTAGTTGTAAAGTTGCTAGAACATCTGAAGGAGTCCAAAATGAAGAGCTATAGGAATTCACAGATGTGGAATTTCCTGGCAGTACTGATAATTTTATATTTAGCCAGTATATATGCAAATAAAACAAAATTTGATCACATAAACAAAAGGTAAACAAATATAACATACAACCAGTGGATTATAACACATAAGTTTTTAGTAATAATACATCAAGCTGATACTTGTCGATAAAATTAAATTGCGTTTCCGGTCTGACGCATTCAGGTGCATATGAATGGAAGTCCATATATGGGGAGAAAAGTCCAGTGTGACCGCGGCTTAAACTGTGCTGAGCTGTGGCCGTCCAGGACTGAGTTTAACACCTGTGAGATAGCCTAACACATTATTATTACCAACATTATATTACGTCAACTTTATAATGTAAAGTTTCAATGAATACATTCTCCTTCCTGTGAAACTGTGCTTTCACAAACAATTCTTTTTTTTCATCCGTCCTTCAAACACAAGCTGAAAGCAAGTATAATTCATTCTTGTAATGTCCTCTGGTCTATGGATCTGAAAAGGATAATGTGTCTTTTTGTTCTGCTCAGATGTTGCTCTGGGGGCCTGATAATGCTTCAGAATATTGATCAGGATATTTGCTTGTGGAATTACGATAACATTTAATGGTCATTATAATATGATCTCTCTGTTAAACTGAAGTGGATTTGTTCATGATGCACAGAGATACAATTTGGTAAGCCTGATGCTGGATGATTCTGCATTCAACCAAAGGCCACTGAGTTATGATGAGAAATAAAAGAACAATCCATCTATACATCCATCGTATGACTGTGCTTTCCTCTGTCTAACTTCTTTGACTGTTAATATGTCTGTGTTCACAGCCTCTGCAAAGATCCGCTAGCTTCAAAGACTTTATGAAGTCAAAGCCCTCGTCACCTGTAACCAACCCTGAGCCTCTGTTGAACGAATCAGTAAGTGCAGGAAAGATTCATTTCATTTGTTCAAACAAAAGATGTATAATGAGTAGCTGTGCACATTACTGTCTAATATCTGTTGTCTTCGAGAAGTAAAACAACAGTGGCATCTGTGTAGAAAAATCTTTATTTAATAAGCTTTAAGTAGCCAAAGCAAACTGCTGAAATGATACTTAAGCCACACTGTTTTAAAAATATCTAGACAGATGTCATCCTCTCGTGAAGCATTCGAGCAGAGAGCCTGCTTCTGTCTCATTTTAAGAAACTGTGGTCGTTTGGGCACATCTTATATATTATACTTTTGAATTTTGTATTATTTGTGAAACAAGAATATATTATACATTATGTAAATTATTATATTGTGTGTTATACATTTGGGGTTAGTAGGATTTCCTTTTTAAGCACAGATTCGTGAACTTGACTTTGTTTAATAAGGTAGTACAACCTTTTTTTCACAATCATTATTGGTTTAACTTTGTTTTATTGATGCTTATTAGTCAGAGAGTCACAGCACCCAATACAGAATCACAAAACATCAACTGCTCCAATCTAGCAGCAGAAAACAATTAGCTCACTTTTTCTTTCTCTCTGAATTAAGCAATACAATAATATATTCTTGCATTAAGAGCAATATAAACACAAATAAAACATTTTTTAGAATACATTCATCAAATTTAAAACAAAATGTTCAATTGTTAAATATTTACTTATTACTTATTGTATGTAGTTTCAAATGAAATTATTTCTCAAGTCATTATTGCTTTTATTACTATTAATATTAATAAGAATAACATTAATGATAACAATAATAAGAATAATGACAATAATAATAATCATTAATATTAGAGGCATTTCAGAAGGATCATGTGACTCTGGAGTGGACTGGAGCAATGAAGCTAAAAATTCATCTTTAAAATCGCTGGAATTAATTTTTTAAATTTAAGGTTAATTTGATTCAGCTTAATAATTTAAGGCAACCTGGATTTTTTTTTTTTTAATTTATAGGATAGATAATATAATATTATAGATATAACACTATGATATAACACATAGTAGGCCTTACAGCAAAATTTAAAAAACATATAAATACAAATATGCAAAAGGTACAGCAGTAGAAAATTAATTAATTAAAAAAAAATAAAAATGCAAAGAAATAATAAATGAATAAAAAACACTCTCCATTCACAGCTTTGCCATAAAAAACTTTTTTTTTTTTTTAATATAGAAAGGGTTGCCAGATAGTGTCAATTATTTTAGTATTACCACAAATTGTATACTTTATCTTTTTTTTTATTTGAATAGACCATTTCAATGTGGTCATGTCATTGGCCCATAAACATTTCCTGCTTGTTATCAAACTGTTTCATAACTGTAACAAGAAGCAATTCAATCAAAACTTCATGTTAAAACAGCTCTCATACCATTATTTATCAACGTGTGGCTCTTTTTGGATGCTCGGGAGCTATAGAAATTAGAAATTGTTTTTGTTTACATCCCTTAAAATGCTCTTTAGTCTGCATTAGATCAGGCATCCAGTGTACATAACTGGGTGGAGAAGGATTTTTCCAGTTTAATGTTATAAGCCTTTTGGCAATCATTAAACAGAAGGCAAGTTCATTTAACTCACAATTATTAATGATGATTAATATTTCTGGCTGTGCTGTGGGTAGCGCTGTCGCCTCACAGCAAGAAGACTAAGCCAAAAAGAAAATGAATTAATGAATATTTCTTTAGTACCAAGTCAGTCTCTGATTGATAGTTGATGAAAAATGTTATTACATTATTAGTATTACAAAGTAAAAAAATTATTATAAGAAATCATAATAATGTTTCAAAATATTTTTAACAATATTAGTTTTAATCAGGTTAAATATATACAAGCAGCCTTGTTTAGAAAAGGCCTCTTTTAAAAACTAACTCAAAAATCCAAAAGCAGCAGTGTGTACAGTTGAAGTCAGAATTATTAGCCCCCATTTATATTTTTCCCCCAATTTCTGTTTAAGGGAGAGCTTTTTTAAACACATTTCTAAACATAATAGTTTTAATAACTCATGTATAACAACTAATTTATTTTATCTTTGATGTGATGACAGTAAATAATATTTCACTTTATTCTATTCAGCTTAAAGTGACATTTAAATGCTTAACTAGGTTAATTAGGTTAACTAGGCAGGTTAGGGTAGGCAAGTTATTGTATAACAATAGTTTGTTCTGTAGACTATCGAAAAAAACATAAAGGGGTTAATAATTTTGACCTTATATATATTTTTTTTTATAAAAATGCTTTTATTGTAGCCAAATTAAACAAATAAGACTTTCTCCAGAAGAAAAAATATTATCAGACATACTGTGAAAATTTCCCTGCTCTGTTAAACATCATCTGGGAAATATTTAAGAAAGAAAATCAATTCAAAGGGGGGCTAATAATTCTGACTTCAACTGTATATTTTATGTTTTAAAATAACAAACGTCTCATTTTGGTGTCATCATCAAAATAAATGGGTAACACTTTACAATAAGGTTTCATTAGTTAATGCATTTACTAACATGAACTAATCATGAACAACACATGTACAGCATTTATTAATCATAATTGAACATTTACTAATGCATTATTAACATCCAAGTCCATGCTTGTTAACATTAGTTAATGCACCATGAGTTAACATGAACTAACAATGAACAACTGTATTTACATTAACTAACGTCAACTAACATAAGCAAATACAGTAGTAAATGTATTGTTCATTATTTGCTCATGTTAGTAAATGCATTAATTAACATTAACTAATGAACCTTATTGTAAAGTGTGACCAATAAATGCATAGTTTAAGGGACTTTATGTACATAAGTGTATACCCTTCGCTTTTTAAGTGTCTTTTAAAGGTTTCTTTTTAAACTTGTTTAAAGTGTCTATTTTGTTTAATTAAAATGCAGTCAAAAAATAAATAAATTAAAATACAAAAAAATAAACATGACACATAATAATGTACAGAAAAGTACTGTTTTGTCTTTGATCCACATGCATAATACCTGTAACTATAAATATAAATGAGTAATAATATACATGTTAGCCGTTAATCAGTATCCTCTATGATAATAAAACACAGTGTTCTGTGGAAATGCCAAGTTGCAATAAAAGCACAATGCATCTATAAGAGACTGCTGTAAAATCCCCTCAGCACTGACAGGTACTTTAGTTTTTTTGTTTATGCCTTTGATAGCAGCACATGTTGTCCTCGCAGTAAAAGGAAGAGCCTCTGACATACTCTTTTAGGCCTCAGAAAGGAGGAGCCGAATTGACTCACAATGATAGTGACGCAGAAACCACTGCCACAGACTTTACTGGAAATCCTCCTGAGAACAGCGGTCCAGCGCCTTAAAATTAACACTGCATATAGTGCGGTTATAGCGCTGATAAAGAATGCTGATTCAGCTTACAGGACAAGGGCACATCAAAACGTTCATCAAAATAAAAGGCACATCAAAAAAATCTGTAATTTTGAAAAAAGCCCACAGTGAGGTTACTTGAGGTAAATCAGTTCATTGTAATGCAAAGGCGAAGTTTCTTTTACGTCTTAAGTGCACCAAACAACAAGATATGAGGACAAGCAACACAAATAGCAATGCTTATTTAAGGACTTCATAGACTGTTTTAGACAAGAGGAAGTTTGATGAATCGAGAAGACAAATTTAGTAGATACTGACGAAGTGGGGGAAGAAATAAAACTTAAAGCTTAATTGTTTTGTCAAAAAATGTCTTTCAGCTGTTTGAAGCTGCGCCACCAGAGGAATCAGGGAAAAGTCACGGGAAACTGGGAAAGAAATGGAGAAATGTCATAACGCGCACAATGACCCGTAAAACATCCAAGATGGTTCAGAAAGCCCTTGCAGAGGAGGGGGTGAGTGGAAACTTTCAGGTGTCTTTTACAGTATAATGCAATGATCAAAAGAAACAATATTTATTCATCTTGGGTAATGTTAAGCTTTGTTGGATAGTTTTTTTATTCAAAATACATTAAAAAGTTATATTTATATAAAAAAATATAATGTAAAAGGATTAAAATGATGTATAATTGTCAAAATTAAAAAAAATGTTTGGTGTCTTTGGTGTATATAGTTTGCAAATACATTATATTTGTATTAAAAATGAAAGAGTAAAGGGGATGACCTTATGTCAAAATGAAAAAACACTGGAAAAACCAAATTCATATATTTTGGTCTATCTTGTAAGTGTTTTATGACTTTTTGGACAGTCTAGATGGTAACTCTTTTGTTAAATTGATGTACATTAAATGTATATTGTATATTTGTGTATATAAATACGTCCAAAGACCTGTGGTAAAGGTGAATTGGGTAAGCTAAACTCTTATGGAGCTAATATTATGCCAAAACTATCTGAATTTGATTTGAATGTGTTAATTTGAATTATTGACGATTGAAATTTAATAAATCTGAATTTTATATTAAACTGTTTTGAATTTCTTAACTTAAATTTGAATTTCATAACTTGAATATTGAACATCCAAAATGTAAGATGTCTGAATTTTTTTTATAGATGTATTTTTCAAACTTTTTTGTGTTCTGATTTTGTTTGAAATATGTCTATATGTCTATAAAAAATTCAGCCTTGAAAAATTCAAATGTCTTACATTTCAGATGTTCAATATTCAAGTTATGAAATTCAAATTCAAAACATTTTTTACGGCATATAAAAATTCAGATTGATAAAATTACAGTTGTTATTAATTAATTCATTCATTCATTCATTGTCTTTTTGGCTTAGTTCCCTTTATTAATCTGAGGTGGCCACTGTGAAATGAACTGCCAACTTATCGAGCACATGTTTTACGCTGCGGATGCCCTTCCAGCTGCATCCATACACACTCAAACACTACGGAAAATTCCTGTGGGGGAAACCGAAGCACCCGGTGAAAACCCACGCGAACGCAGGAAGAACATGCAAACTCCACAGAGAAATGCCAACTGACTTAGCCGAGGCTCAAGCCAGGGACCATTCTGCTGTGAGGCAACAGGACTACCTAATGCGCCATTGCGTCACCCTGCCAATATTTCAGATGAACACAATTCAAATTCAGATTGTTTTGGCACATTATTAGCTCCATACATTATCTGTAGTATGTGTGAATGAGTGTGTATGGATGTTTCCCAGTGATGGGTTGAAATAAAATAAAATAAAATAAATAAAAATAGCTAATACACAGTGGCTTCAGTTGGGACAGTATGAGACTGTATGACAGCACCTACATGGAGCCCTTCTGCGGCAAAGCCCTTGTCATAAAAATGAAAATAAAATTTGTTGTTCAAAAAATTTGTTTGATTTTACACATTTAATTTTTGCGGAAACTTTACGAACTTAAAAAAAAATATTAACTGCACCCACATAATTAAATAAAATTTAATTTTAGATAAAATCTAATTTAAATATTTAAATTTTATTTTATCTAATTTAAATAAAAATAGCTAATACACATAAATGCATTTTACTACTGTATTGTAAAATATTAACATGTTTAAAAATATTTTTATAGAACTATAAATTTAAAAATTACATGTTTTATTTTTATTATGTATTTTGTGTAAACTTGACCTGCAAGAAACCAGCCACCTTACCAACTTTACCCATGAAGCACACTTAATATAACCTAAATTTGTCTCCCCCATGTGGATGATATCAGGATTACATTTTCTAGATTCTTGGTTATAATAATATGAACTCAAATAAACATTGTGGCCATCTAAAACTTGTGTGTTTCAGAATGAGAGTGGTGAGGACGGCTCTATGTCCCCTATGTCTCCCACTGACTGGACGCCTGATCTGACTGCTGGAAACAGGACATCAGTGTGCTCCAACAGCTCAGAGGACACAATCCACAGCCCGCTCTCTCGCCAGCTCTCTGGATGTAAGCCATCTATAAGCCACACTACTGTATAAAGCTGGACAGAAATCGCGAACCTGAATGACTTCTGTTTTTATGCTGATGAGCAGGTGCAGACAGGCAGAGTCTAGACAGCGGCTTCAGCCAGCGGGACAGTATGAGACTGGAGGACAGCACCTACATGGGGCCCTTCTGCGGCAGAGCCGTTGTCATAACTGACTTCACCCCCAGCCCGTATGATATAGACTGCCTCAAACTACAGGTAAGCTTTCCCAAAAATATTTGGATTGGGACTCCAAAATGACAGCTGTTATTATTTGATCCTGTATTAATGGATTCTTTCCTTTTTGTTTGTTTGTTATTCAGTTTATTCGTTAAACGTTTCATTTTAAGTAATTGTTTACTTAATTTATTTATTGTTGCATAATTATTGTGGCATTGTTTTTGTGTAAAGCAATCAATTTTCAATCCATTTTTTATTTCTGACTTTTCATTATTTTTATTTTTCAATAAGTAATTTATATATATATATATATATATATATATATATATATATATATATATATATATATATATATATATATATATATATATTTATTTATTTTTTTTTTTTTTTTTTTTTTTTTTTTTACTGTAATAAAAAAAGAAATTGGTGGTAAGTTTAAAAGTAGAATACAATGAAATACATGTAATAAGTTAAATTCAAATACATTTTGAAGGAGAAAGACTTAATAATAAAATTAGTAAGTTAGTGAAGTTAGTTTTTATTAGGTATGAGTTTTAATAAAATAAAAACTCAAAAAAACTCGTCATTTATATATTTTTATCATTTATTCTTTAAATCTTCTGTTAAAACAATGGTGTTGTGTTGACTAGAATGAATAAACATGCCATCTTTTTTATTTTATGCATAAAATTGCTTTCAATGATGAAGTTTTGAAAAAACCTCATCAGTATTTTCCAAAAAAAAACACTTTGTTTATTTGAAGTTGGAACAAACGTCAGTATTTTATAAAAAATTTAAAAAAAACTACATTTTACCAAAGAGCTTAGAATGACCAAGAGGCAACACTCAGTAGAACATTCCACTGCAACAGCAGCGCCCAGCAACAGCCCCGGATTCTGCCATTTTGGAGTGAAAGTGATCGGCTGTCCATTGGATCTCGATCTCATTACTGTCGCAATGGCAAGCAGCTGCTGTGTTTATTTATTTATTTATTTAAAAAGCGCATTAAAGCTGAGATACAACCTGAAAGACGACAATACAACACTTACTATCACAATCATCAGCACTTTTAATAGTTTAATTTACAGACTTATAATATGCTGTTGTTCTAATGTAGTTTTCATTCCAAAATGACTGCCGCGCCCTCTAGTGGCTGTTTCCCAAATTACACTAGAGTGTCGCCTCTAGGTCATTCTAAGCTCTTTGATTTTACTCAAAAACTTATTTATAAATTGTAATATCCAGCGAACAGGAGAAAATTTATTTTTTATAAGCAAAAATAATATTTCAAGTAAATAATGGCAAGATTTTGTGGACGCTAAGATTCTCTAAAAACTACAGTAAAAACAAATTTGTCATTTTATGTTTTTTTTTACCAGCAGCTAGGGTGCGGGAGAAAACATGTAAAATAACGGATGTTAAATTGCAGAAATTTCCTGTAATTCAAAATGATTACAGGAAATTTCTGTAATTTAACATCTGTTAGTTTACATTAGTTTTCCAACAGCTGGGGTGAATAATGAAAAATAGTGCAAAACCGTATTTAATAATTCATTCACCAAAAATAATATAACTGCAACAATAAAAAACATTTTAAAAAAGAAAGCTATAAAATGGCTGTCACAATAGACTCCTTTCACAAGACAGTGGTGACACATTTCAGCGGTAATCAGCATCTTCAATCCTCTAAAGTTTTTAATATTTAGATAATTTAAGAAATGTATGTAGATTTATCAAATGTGTACTGTGCAGAAAGCGTGTTCTGCCCTGACATTTTTCTAAATGCACAGAAAGGAGACATCATTCAGATTATTGAGAAACCCCCGGTGGGCACCTGGACCGGCAAACTCAACAACAAAGTGGGCTCTTTTAAATTCGTCTACGTCTCAATGCTACCAGAGGAGGAAACGCCACCAAAAAGGAAGCGAAGCCACAGTCATGGGCACCAGAAAGCCAAACCAAAAACCTTGGAGGAAGTTCTGGAGAGAATAGGCCTGACTGTAAGCCTCAAGTTACTTTTGTTACTTTAACTCAATAATATGTGCTCAATAATAATAATTAGATGCCAGTTCAAAAGGATCTGATTGTAGACTTCTTATGATTAACTCCATTAGGAGCTGGGATCTCTCCTGTCCATGCACGGCTTCCAGAGTTTGGAGGATTTTACTGGCCTGAAGGAGTCCCACCTGAATGATCTGAACATCACAGACCCGGAGCAGCGTGTAAAGATACTGAAAGCCACAGAACTGATTCATGACTGTAAGTCCATGTAAAATCAAAACACCATAAGAGCTTTTTACCCTGCACTTGACTTCGAGTTATGGTCATTCATTCATTTATTCATTTTCTTTTCACCTTAGTCCCTTTATTAATCTGGGGTCGCCACAGTGGAATGAACCACCTATGGTTGTTTTAATGTTTTTTTTTTCTGTTTGTTTTTAGGGTGCTTTCACACCTGTGAATCGATTCATTTGTTCCGAAACAGGAATTAAAATTGTTACATTGTTGCTCTTTGTTCTTGGTGCGGTTCGCTTTCACACGGCAAAGTTTTCTAAATGGACTAAAACTCTCCTCACATTGAGTTTGTTTCAATCAAGCCCAGACCTCTTGATTCAGACAATCTTGTTTTGGAGAGGATCCGAGCGCGATTGCTGGATTCACATATGCCAAATGAACCGGGCAAACGAGACGGGTTCCGAAACAAAAGTCTAGGTGTGAAAGCACGCTTAGACAGGGTTAGCAAACATGCTTGATTTCTACTGAAATTGCTTGATTCAATCTCTTTGTGAATGTTTTGACACCTCCTGAGTCACATCCTTGTGTACTGTTCAGTGGGGTTTTTTAGTAGTGTAGTGTGTTTTTTAAGTAGTTTTTACAAGGATATTCGCAGAAGATAAGCTGACTTTAAGGTCACACTTTATTTTGATGGTTGGTTTGTTGAATTGAAGTTACATTGCTTCTACATGCCAACTAATCCTCATTAGATTATTAGTAGACTGTTAGGTTGGGGTTATGGTAAGTTAGCATGAGCTTGTAAAGTTTCATATCCTCCTAGGGCTTGAGTGTCCACATACATGGAAAGCACATTTTAGCTCTTATGTGGCTATTTTAAAATACTTTGAATGTTTTATATTTTGTTACAGACATGCAGTGTCATTCTGCAACGGTTTTGCAGCATGTGAAATGTTTCCAACCCTATTTTTAACTGTCCAAAATGGAAAACAAATTTTGTTTTTACTCTGATAGTCAAAACAAGTTTAAAAAAATAAATAAATAAAATATATATATATATATATATATATATATATATATATATATATATATATATATATATATATATATATATATGCTTAAAAAAAACATTCGGTCCACATATATGGACATAATTTTTCTCTAAATAACAAAATAGAACAAAAAAAAAAAAAGAAAAAAAATGAAGTGTGAAATGTTGGACAGCTTAAGCACTTCATTCATTCATTCATTCATTCATTTCTTTTCGGCTTAGTCTCTTTATTAATCAGGCATCACCACAGCAGAATAAACCGCCAACTTATCCAGCATATGTTGTTATGCAGCGGATGGCCTTCTAGCTGAACCCCATTACTGGGAAACACCCATACACTCTCATTCACACTCATAACACTACGGACAGTTTTAGCTTACCCAATTCACCGATACTGCATGTTTTTGGAATTGTGGGGGAAACCGGAGCACCCGGAGGAAAACCCCTGCAAACACAAGTAGAACATGCGAACTCCACACAGAAATGTCAACTGACCCACCCAAGACTCGAATTCGCAACCTTGCTGTGAGGTGACAGCACTACCTGCTGCGCCATCGTCCCCCTTAAGCACTAGTTGAAAAAATAATTAATAAAGATGACAACCCAGTCCAGGAGACTCGAACAAGCAGAATTTCTTTATTGAGACGTAATGGTTAGTCTGTCGTCAAACAGCACCTTCAAGAAGTCCACGAGTCTGCAAGAGCCTACAGAAGTGTTGTACAAGTGTGTACAGTCTGAAATCAAGTCTCATTTGAGACAAAGATGTTCTGTCTGTAATATGTTTTTAGGACGAGGAGAGTGGCTAGGTGGTGATGGCTGAACAAAGCATATAAATGAAGTATTGGAGACAGCAAGATAAACGGCTTTTCACAGCCTTCATCACATCAACATAACAGTGCCTATTCAGATATGTAGGTGTTAGAAACCTGCCCAGCTGCTGACCACACAAGTTTATTAACAAATGAGTTCCTTAAAAGAAACAAGTAAAAGTCACAGTCATTGAGACCCTGGCGGGTAGACAGGAAGTCCATAAAGACAATAGGATAAAATGTCTCCAACACTTGACCTGCTGTAGTTTTAAATAAGAATTATACAATATAAAAAACAGAGTATAACTTTTCAGTAATATTAATATCACTGTTAATATGGAACTAGATTATATACAGTTTTATTCCCACACACTCAGCGGTAACTACGTAGTGGACGAAGCAGCATTTTGAAAATTTGACGAGTGAGTAGGGTACATAGTGTATACTAGTGTGTCATTGAGAACGCTACTTCAGTCTCGTTAAAAGTGAAATTTGTATAAAGAGGCTAATGACAGGATTTTCTTGTGCTTTGGAAAGGAAGGGAAACTTGTGTTTTACACAAAGTCCTTTCAGTATTCACTTACTTTCCCTTTTAGTATTAACTAGCTGGAATGTCAATTTGATGGGAAAACTCGTAAACTGGTATGAATAAACAATCTCATTCCTACCTTTATAGTCCCAAATATATTGAATTGAGAATGCTCAAAAGTGTTCTTCCAATCAGTGACACAGACACAGCAAATATGGAAAACAGGAATTTAACTGAGGACATTAAAGGGCACCTATGATGAAAATCATCTTTTGTATGCCGTTTGGACAGAACTGTGTGCAGGTAGAGTGTCTACAGTCATTTTGGTGTGATATTAAAAAGTCTATTTTTTAATTTCCTGATAATAAAATAGGATCCAAATCCCTCCCATTTTGAGGTAACGTAGGAGTTTGGTTTGCCCCGCCCACTGAATTTATTGATAGCCACATATTAACATGTTTACGTAGTAACAATTAAAACTACATCTTTGTAATGAATTACAGCAATTTTACTGTCTTATCACCACAGCCGCTTGTCATTACAATTAAAAAAGAAGATGCTTAAATCCTGGTGTGGGGACGTTAAGTCAGGTTTATTTTATACATTAAGAACAGTTATCCATACAGCAGTGGATATTAACGTGTATCGTCACAGAAAATCCCAATATTCTCACTTTTTTATAATTTGACTACATGTATGAAAACAAAATGATGAGGTGGCACACCCTCTATTAAAATATGATAGCAATTTATAGTAAATGCTAAATATTTTAATATTATGGTTTTTATAGTTTAATATATTATTTTTTAACCATACTATAGTATTGTATTTTTTTTACTGCATAATAGTATTTACAGCATATTTACAACTGTTAATAAATGTTAGGGCATACTGGAACATTAGCTAACTACAGTGAACTGATCAACTGTAATAAATACTGAAGTATACTTTAGTTTTTACGGTGGTTTATTGCAAAGATATTGCTGTTGTGTAGTTGTAGAGAACTAGTGTAATGGGTCATATGTTTATATTACAGAAGTTGTTGTATTAACAGCAACTACAGAATTACCACAATGGATTAATTGAAGTATTGTACTATAGTATGGTTCAAAAACACTAATTACTATATTATTTTTCAAGAGGCTCGATCACAAGTTTCAAAACCATTTAGTTTTTCTTTTTTAAAGAAAAACATCTTATCAGATTTACAATCCCTATTTTAAACTCCCTGAACACATTGTTTGTCCTGTCAAAAATGAATAGAGAGCAACCAGGCGTCTAAGATCTTTAACAAGGACAAATTGTTAACCCAGGGTTAATTATGAGCAACCAAATGCCATGTTTTGAAATGAAAGTGTAAAATTCCTACAGAGTCTAGACTGCCTATTTTGCCCATCATAGTTTGTATTTGTGCATTATGCAATCTTCAACAGTCTGTTTGATGTACTAATTTTCTTTTATGTTCTCCAGCGGAGGATGAATCCGATGCAGAGGAGCAAAAGACTGAAATGCCACGGGACTCGGGTTGTTATGAGAGCACAGAGAACCTGGCAAACGAACGCGAGGAGCCCCAGGTGGATTCCCAAGCGGAGCCAGAGACAGATCCAGACACAGAGATAAAGCTCAATGCTGTACAGGAACAACTTGAGGTGATGAAGGTGGAGGAAAGCCCTGAGACTCAGACAGAGTGAAGCCACCAGTGTATGTTCCTTCATTTGATCCTGCTTCATTATAACTCTCTATGATGATGGTCGAGAGCATGACATGTCCATACACTGGATTAAATCACATGAAGAAAAACATTTCCACATGTACAGCCCAAACTGAGGCCAAAAACATCTCTTAGATGAAGGTAATCATCAATGGAAACAGCTCTCTTTGACATTGTTGATGTTCAGAAAGTGACACCACTTTAAAAATCTAGGCTTAGCTTTTATGATTTTGGTGGGAAAAGGAAGCATAGTAGGAAGCAAATAGTGTTTGTGTTTTATCCCAACATCATAAAATACAAAGCATGGTGGAACCTTTAAAATCAGATTTACTTGTAAGGTTGTTAAGCCATCCTTTCTGTTAAATATTTCATGTACTATACATTCACCGGCCACTTTATTAGTTACACCTTACTTATACCAGGTTGGACCCCATTTTGTCTTCAGAACTGCCTTATCCTTTATGGCATAGATTTAACAATATACTGGAAATACACCTTAGAGATTTTGATCCACATTGACATGATAGCATCACGCAGTTGCTGCAGATCTGTCGGCTGCACATCCATGATGTGAATCTCCCATTCCACCACATCCCAAATGTGCTCTATTGGATTGAAATCTGAAGATTGTGGAGACCATTTGAATACAGTGATATCATTGTCATGTTCAAGAAACCAGTCTAAGATGATTCACACTTTGACATGGCGCATTATCCTGTTGGTAGTAGCCATAAGAACATGGGTACTCTGTGGTCATAAAGGGATGGACATGGTCAGCAACAATACTCAGGTGGGCTGTGGTGTTGGCAGGATGCTCAGTTGATACTTATGGGCCCAAAATGGGTCAAGAAAATATCCCCCACATCATTACACCACTAGCCTGTACCGTTAATACAAGGAAGGATGGATCCATGCTTTCATGTTGTTGACGCCAAATTCTGTCTCTACAATTCAAAAGTCACAGCAGAAATCAAAAATCATCAGACCAGGCAACGTTTTTTTTTTTGTTAGCTGAAAAGATTGGCACCCAGTGTGGTCTTCTGCTGCTGTAGCCCATCCGCCTCAAGGTTGGGCATGTTATGCGTTCAGAGATGCTCTTCTGCATATCTTGGTTGTAATGAGTGGTTATTTGAGTTGCCTTTCTATCAGCTCGAACCAGTCTAGACATTCTCTGGCATCAACAAGGCATTAACGCCCACCAAACTGCCACTATTTTCTCTTTTTCAAGACCGTTCTCTGTAAACCCCAGAGATGGTTATTTCCACTAACAACCATGCCACGTTAAAAGTCGCTTTAATCACCTTTCTTCCTCAGTCTGATGCTCAGTTTGAACTGCAGCAGATCATCTTGACCATGTCCACATGCATAAATGCACTGAGTTGCTTCCATGTGATTGGCTGATTAGAAATGTGCGCTAACGAACAGTCGGAAAGGTGTACCTAACAAAGTGGCCGGTGACCTAACTGTGATTCTCTTATATCTGAGAAGCTTCTTCAATCTTCAAACTAAGTAGCATTTTATCTACTACTATTCTACTGTTTCTGTCATATTGAATGTACAAAGTAATATGCAGCTGGTGCGCTCCAAATGTATTTTATTTGCGAAGTATGAAAGAGGAAAAGCATATATTGTTCAGTTTATGTATGTGTACTTTCATATTATGCTTTTGCTTCTATTGTCAAAGGATTTGGTTCCTGTTTATGGTAATGTTCCTTGTTATGCGGTTACTTTGGTTTTCGAAATGATGATTTAATACTTGTTTCATTATTAACCTTCCGTTTGTTTGTATGTATGAGTTGTTAAGAATTGTTGACAAAATCACAATGTAGTCTCTTCTTTATACATTACACCACAAAACAATAGTAATAATACCTTATAATTTAATGAACATACATATACACACAAATTTATGAAGTAGAAAGTGAGGAGTATGAGGATATACATGATCACAGTGTTATTACCAAGCAAAGTGAACATAACTCGTAATGGTGCATCGTTTCCAAACATCTAGAGCAGACCATCGCTTGCTAATATTCTGATTTACACTTTACACTGACTTGGCATTACAGATTTAAATTTTCTTGCGCCTCATTTAGGAATTTGCATAATGACACAAATTTCTTGATGGAAAAAGGGGATTCATTGACTAATTTAAAGCACATTTCCATATACTCAGTAATACCTTCAACCTACAAATGAATATTAACATCGTCCATTCGCAGTGCAATCAATCACCTCAACTTCACCGCATACAGTACTCGCCCAATAAAAAAAAAAAATCCCATTTGCAAGAAATTAACCATGATCTGATAGAAGCATTCGGACTACATTTCCTGCAATAATGGAGTTTTATCCTAACACATTCTTCATCAGTGGAGCCACTAGCAATCAATCAAACTAAATGAATGTCACTTACCATTCCAGCTTATACACTTCTGTATGATGGCACTGGTTTAAGAGCTGGCCGTTCTGAATGAATCAACCACACAACAATACTGCCTGTGTTTGCGTCTCTGAAACAAATATAGCTGGTTATTAGAAACCCATGTAAAAATGGAAGAGTCCCTGATGTGCAGTCCCTTATAAGTGGCCATCAACATATTATGGTGAAATTAGTAAATGTGACTACAAATACGCATTCGCTTATACACTGGGGGCACGTTCTGCTACAGTAAACATGGTGAAAATAAGGTGTGGAGCACAATTTAAAGAGTTCTCAATTGAATGCAGAAGCATGCTTAAATAAAGGTTTTCCCATGCCTGGACCAATCATTTTCAGATGGAAACCAAAGCGTTTTTCTCTGATTAAGTGCACAAACACCAATTTCCTCAAAGGGATAGTTCACACAAATATTTCACCACCATTTACTCACACTCAAATGCTTCTAAACTTTGTTGAACGTTGGAAAAAACCAAGCATTGAAACACAAACAACAGTTGAAAAAAATAGCCATTGACCTCCATAGTATTTTTAGTTCTTACTATGGCAGGCAATGGCTTTTTTTTTTTTTAAGCTTTCTCCAGTATTTCTCCTTTGTGTTCAACAGAAGAAAGAAACAGTTTTGGAACAAGTGGAGGAAGAGTTCCACCATTTTTGTGTGAACTATCCCTTTAAATTGGTGCACAAACACACAATTTAGCCTTGAGTAGGGCTAGAAATTCATACAGATGATGCTAAATGATGGCAGACAGTAAAGGAAAGACCTTGCTATGAAGGAAGAACCTAACTTCAAGATCAAAATAATAGCTATAACAACAAATCAGGCATGTTTTCCACTTCCTTAAGGGAATTTACAGCTTTTCGATCAATTTTACATTATGTACATTAACTCCATGGCTTTTTTTGCAGATCATTAAGAGCTGTATAAAAATGATGGTGTTACTTGCATGAGTATTATTAGGGCATTATGGAGACTTGAGTTTGATGGTAGAGCATAGATAAGGCACTCTTACTGATGCAGATCGACCTGTACTTACTGAAAAGCATCGCACTTTCCACCATCCATGCTGATTGTAAAAATCAAGTTTGGAGTTTTAACGTCCTGTTGTCATGGAATTGAATCACATTTATGACTGATTTACTAAGCTGATCCAAACGGCCCCATCATCATGAAGCAGATTCTTTAGGCCTCGGTTTATGGCTAAAGCACTTTTCCCTATCACACTTTGTCCAAAATACAAAAAAAAGTCTAATCCAAAGGGCATTCAGCACAAATGACTACAGAAGCTAATAATGGGTTTTACCGGGCACACAAATGCTTAGGAATAATGGAGGCAGGCTATACAGAAAAAACAACAACATTTCATGAGCTCTTCTGAGGGAAATAATGTCTACATTACGCTTCAGGGCGGCCCATTCGCATCCGATTCAGTCTGTGGTGCCCCTATTTCCCTCACCGTGAGTTTCATCATGCTGTGATTCAGAGAGTAGAGTCACATAACCTCCGTTTCTCATCTTGAGTTCAAGTGGAGGATTCAGGCAAATGAAGCGTCCCGTTCTGTAAGAGTGTTCGGACGGCTCTGAGCGTCAGAGTTAATCAGCTGTTCTGTGTGGTCCTTCAGATTTAGAGGTCTGTGAAAACGCTGTTAAAGCTAGTGGGTGGACTCTTTAATGACCGCAGGGGCGACGGCGTTGGGAGATATTGGCGAGGAGGGTTTCTCTTCTTTTGGGGAGCTGGAGCTCTTCTGGGTGCCTGAACAGATGCTGGGCTTGGCTTCATCAGGAGTGTGTTCATTGGGGATCAGGGGAGCCGAGGATTTCTGCAGGAAAATGAATACACCGTCAGCAATCGAGTAGTGGTGTTCACATGCATGCAGTCATTCATAAACCGGGGTAAGTGTACACTATTTGCTACTTAAAAAGGAGGCTTGGGGAGCCTTGGAAGATTAACACGCTCAGGAGTGAGAGTAGGTGATGATAATTATGATTAATGAGAATTCAAATGATATTTTCAGTAGAAGACGTCTTGTTGGAGAACAGAACAGTTATCGTGAGTCTTGTGCAACATAAGCATTTTTTTAAATGTTTTAAAATCTCCCTTATTGGAGCCGGTGGCAATAAGTGGTGAGGGGCAGCACGGCGTGTGTTTGCCGGTGTGGGAATCTAGGAGAGTTGAAATTAAGCAATACGAATTTAGAAGTCCACTGCTTGAGAATAGTCCAGAGACAGTGTTGCCAGATATAACTGACTTTTTCTAACCCAAAAGCTGTTCAAAACCCACCCAAACGCAAAACAACACACACCCAAAATATTAGATTTATATTTTATTTAAATTGGATTTATTTAAATCTGAATTAACCGAGTTGATTTAACGGTCATTATTTTTAACCATACAGCATCTAACACCAGCAGTCACAGAACCACAACATTACTGGATCACATCGAAACACTGGGCCCTCTCACTCACACACAGCACTTAATGTCTTGTAGATTACACTCCCTATTAGACTATGTTTTACTTTCGAAATGGGGTATGAATTAGTCCCATTTGGCGTTTTAAATTCTTTTGAACATAATTAGGTGCTGCTTGTGAAGCAGGCAATGCTTCTATGTTTGTTCTTGCTGTTAATTGTGGAACAAAAATGATTTATAAAAGTGTCATGATAAATTGCCGGAAGCTGCCCAATCTGGCAACACTGTCCAGAAAACAGGGTCACTGTAAACTTTGGTTCCGACCACAGTTGTTCGCAAGGGTTTGATTATTGTGGTCGCCGGATTTCCAGTTACCTACTATGATTTCTTACAGTTTCTTACACCTTTAGTGTGAACGCACAGTAAGTACATTTTTTGTGATAAGATTGTGAAAATAGTTCTAATAAAGATGGATCAAAAACTTTTGTTTAAAACATAATTATAATCATTTTATTATAATTAATTACAATTACTATAGGGGTTTATGTAAATTATTATTTAGAATAATATTATTATTTTTGTAATTATTAAAAGATTATTATAGCATTACTTTGCCCAGTGTAAATAAATGAATAGGAATTCAAATGTCAATAATCATCAGTAATTAAAATAAATCTAATTATAGTTAGTTGTTATATAGTTTTTATGTAATTAATTACTACTCTATATTATTATTATAACTATTATTATTATTATTATTATATACTATAAAAAAATAATTGAAAAATTATGTTAATTATAATCTGGGGGAGGCCGATCCAGCCTCTCTTGATATTTGAGGCTCTGCACTAGTTCTGAGAGAGAGAAAATAAATAAATTGAAATTCACTCAAAAAAAGTGAATATAAACGGCTAAAATTGACTATGAAAATTTAAATATTAAAATGGTAAAAAATAAAGAAAAAGTCATTTTTTTTTAAATTCTGTTAATTGTATTAACATTGTTATAGGGGATGTAATGATTCACTTAAGTCACAATTCGATTGTTCGCAATATTAGAGCCTTTTCATTTTTTCTTTAATGCCACACATTTTTTTGCAAAACACATTTTCTCCTATAACTAAATTGCTGTTTTAAAACAAATTCTAAAGAAAAATATAATAATACAAACTAAAGAAGACTCATTAATACAAACACACTAAAACTGTGACTGTGCTGGGATTTTGCATTTTTAAAAAGAAATATCAGCATATCTGTGTTTCCTGCCATAAGCTTAATGAGTTCAACATTTCTACCGGTTTGAATAGTCACATATTTGAATCCATTTTCAAACCACTCACAGTGAATCATTATATCCCTAATTGTTATCTGTGGTTGTATATTTCAGTACAATTGCAAAATTACTATACTACAATTTATTATAATAATTTTCAATCTTTTTTGCAGAAACATAACAATATAAATAAATATTTATTTTTCTGGTAAAATTAAGACTACAATAAAACACAACAAATTGCATATAACACCCAGGTTATAAAAATTAGAGACGTTAGCTCTATTATTATTTGCTCTATGAAAGTCACATCAAGTTAAAACCACTTAAAGCATCCATTTACTCTATATGGTTCTTTTCCCTGGCCTTCTAACCCTTCCAGCTCTTAGAGTAATTGATTTAGGATTTTTGCAGACTCACTACTCCAACACACACACAGCAAGGCATCCAGCAGTATTTCTGCCGAACACTCGCTCACTCACTCACACTTACTGTGGTTTGTGTAGCAGGATTGCTGCTCTTATTGACAGGAACAGTAGTCGCACCATTGGAGGGGGCGGAGCTACACGAGTCCTCCAGCATCAGCCCTCTTCTGTCCAGCACACTATAAAAAAATAAATAAACCCCAAAAAATTATATTATGCTTTGTTCAGATGTGGCTGTTTTTCTTGTTTTGATACAATTTTTTTACAAACTATTTCTTTTTTAACATTTAATCACACTCCAAGACACATTGTAAAATGTTAATTTGCAAGCTGTTATCACTTCACATTATTATCAATATTAATTGATAATAATTTTTTTTGGCAATTTAATGTATTTAAGCTGAATCAAAGTATTGATTAATGTTTTTCTTATACATTTTGTTTTGCCAAAATTGAATGATAGTTTTCACAATAATATTATTATAATATTTAATGGAGCCCATTTGTATTCAACAGAGATAAAAGTAGAGATGCATCAGCTAATTAATAAAAGCAATAATTATTGAAAATGAAATTCGTTGTTAATGCTATTTCAGATTAGTGTAAATGGTGCAACAGTAGAATAAACAACAACAGCAGAAGTAAAATATTACTATTAGTCACTGTTGCGGTTTTCAGTGAAGGCTAATGATGTTACATTTGTGCACTGAATGGTGAAAGTTCATCTGTTCTTTTGCCTGTTTCAAAAAGAAAGATTTGTTGTTTATTTATTATTCATCATTTTTATATTTCAACAAATTCTGCTGCTTAGTATCTTATTGTCATTGTGTCTATATCCTAATTTCATAATGTGAATATAAATGGAGTACAACACTTGGGTCCGTGTTTGTTGCGTTCATTTGATTTTTAATTTTAACTGAAATAAATGAAAAGCGGAAACTGCAATTTTAGTGTTTTTTTTTTTGTTTGCTCACAAAAAACGGAAAGAAATAAATTACTAAATTTACATATTCTATCACATATTCTATATTATAACACACAGTTAGCAGTATGCTTAAATGGAATAAAAAACGTAAATCAGTAGTATTACTAGACATTTGTCTTTAAAATAATGTCATAGTTAGGCCTGGGTGCTGATCCGCAGAGGATTATTATTTGGAGGTTGACTTCATAAGCTCAAATTTAGTTGACCAATCAGATGAAAATGGGTGTTTCAGCACCGCCTACATGTGGGTAATGAACTTAAAGATGTTTATCTATTTTTCTACCCTGAACCAAAAAAATAAAAAAAAACATGAAAATAGAGCCAAAATGTCATTTTGTTTTAATTTTTGTGAGCAAATAAACAACTAAAATATATGTGATATTTAGAGAACATTTACTGTTCAAAAACAAACTTTGCTTTACATTTAAGATTTAAAATGTCAAAATTAAAGATCAATAAACTATACAAGGCATTTTTGTATTTTTAAATATACATAAATAATACCCTGATTAACAATTTTACATAGTTAATAATCAGGAAAACATGAACATTTTTTTGTTTTTATTTGATTACTTGAAAAAAAAAATCAATGCCCAACTAATCACAAGTCAGCATATTAGATTGATTTGTTAAGGATCATGCAACACTGAAGACTACAGTAATCATGCTGACAATTCTGTATTTACATAAATAACATTCTAAAATATACTGTTAATAAAGAAAACAGCTATTTTAAATGAAAAACCCGTACAATCTAGCTCAAGTGTTAAAATATGCTACCATTAAGCAAGACTACAGTATCATTCCTACCTGGGGTAAGTCGGGCCACACAGAACCTCACAGCAGTTCTTAATGATGTTCTTGTGACTGTATGGGTTCTGCACGCGGTTCTTCCCTGACCATGAGCCTTTGATCTGTGAATAAGAGATGAAGTACTTAGAGCACTGAAAATAAAACAGCACAAAGTCAGAACTGCCACTCACAGTCACCAGATAACAATGTAAAAATCTGTGCAAAAGGGAGCTTGCTAAAAAAAGAATGTTTTATTTGTTATGGTTTATTTTAAAATGTGTCATTTCAGCTCTAGACATTCCTTCCCAACGGATCATGAATTTGATCCAGTCAAGAACTTCAAGGATCTTCATCTTAAAAAGACATGTTACTGTTACATCTGCTCCTTGATGGAAATATATGAATTTATCACAGGAAACCCTGATTTAAAAAAAAGACAACTCAAGTTTCATGTGTCGTATTTCTCACAAAAAGACCAGTTTTAGATTTCAGTAAGAAGTTTAGCTGGATCTGGTTTCAACTGTGTCTGCAGGTATTGATCAATTTATTATAAGCTAAAGCTCCAATTTATACTAAATCAAAGGTGAACAGACATCATTACTTGCAGCAAGTGCATTCCTTCTATCACAGCTTCTCACTATATTTCTCTCCTCATTAACAGGAAAAGAAGAGCCAGAGGGCAAACGTGGCGAGAAAACATTTTAAACTAATCATTAGGGCTAAGTGTGAAAGTGCCACAGAAGTACAGATTCTGCATTCAAACTGCTGTAATGAAAACCACTAGACATGCCATTTATATGAGTTTTTACATTAAATATACATACATTAGAAACTTCTGTACATCCATATGATTGGTTTTGACAATATGGGTCGATCAAGGAAAGTGTATAATGTGTTTAAAATGTTAAGAGTAAATTTTTTTTTCCAGTTCTATGTACTTTTATGTGCCATGGGGTTTAACATTTGGGCAAATCAGTTACAAAATCAGTGGCTAATTTGTGACTTTAAATATTTAAGGTGCTTTCACACTTGGTTCAATTGCCCGGACAGAACCAAAGTTCTATTGTCCTAACTTGCCACCTTCTCAGAAGGTTTGTCTTCACACAGTCTTTTTTCCTTCTGAACCCAGGTACGTTTGCGTCATCGAGCTGCTGTAGTGTGTACAGCTGTTGCTAGATGACGGCCACAAAAGCAAAGCACCAAAATGAAAAGACGTACGCACAACACAGTCGATCTGCTTTTACTGGATCTTTTGGTTTTGGACATACAAAAAGTGATAATGGAATGTGTCCATCTGCCCCAAAAATATTATAAATGTTCAGAACATAACACCATGTCCACAGCTGTTTTTGAAGAAGACAAGCAGACAATATCGCTGTGTTTGCCTTGGCTCAGTCCCGTTTGTCACCAAGGTACAGTGCATGATGCGTACACGCGCACACACACACACACACACACACACACACACACACACACACACACACACACACACACACACACAAACACAAACACAAACACAAACACAAACACAAACACAAACACACACACACACACACACACACACACACACACACACACACACACACACACACACACACACACACACACACACACACAAACACGTTATGAAAACGACAGTTTGTTGTACAGTTGGTGGTTCACTTCCGTTATTTGGTACAATTGCATTCAAACCAGAAGTGAACCATACCAGAGTTTGTGCAAACCGTACCCCAGACCACCTCTTTCTGGCGACTCAAGTACCATTCACGGGTGCGCACCAGAGTTCAGAAGACATCGTTCACACTAGCTAAATGTACAATATCTGACTTCAAACGAACCCGGGTATGGAGCAAAAGTGCTAGTGTGATAGCACCCTCAATATATTTAATAAACCAAATATTTTTGAACACATGAATTAAATTCAATAAAATTTCTACATAATTAAATACCATGTAAACTAATCCGATGTAACCAGTGTTTAAGTTTTATAATTAGACTAAATTATTAATATTTTAATTTTAAGTATGAATATGTCTTCTGTAACATGGAGCTTGACTAATTAAAATGAAATTAGCAAAATTAAAGAATTGCCACTCAATTGTCATGTTTTACATCACACATAGTTTGACATGGTCATGGTGCTGTTTTTGTTGGTTTAAAACAGTGGTTCTCAAACTGTGGTACGTGGTACACAGGCTTTCTTCTAGTGGTACGCGGATGAATTAAATATGTCATATGTACATGCTACATATATTTAAATAAATTATCAAAAATGATTTGTGTACGAAATGACATAAAGCCCATATTTATGAGGTCCAGGCAACATTTCCAGGTGCTGATAAACCTGGAGTCATTTCTTTTTTACTTTAAGAACAGTAACCTTCCATTTTTGCTTTTAAAAGCACATGTTAATTTAAATGTTCTTAATAATAGGAACTAATATGCCTCGTTTTTGAACTGTACTGAACTTTAGCTGCTTTACTAGACCTAATACGCTACTGTATTTCAATACTGCTCATTATGGTGGTACTCGCAAAGATAACTTTTTTCTGAGGTGGTACTTGATGAAAAACGTTTGAGAACCACTGGTTTAAAACATTTAGAAAAAACATTTAAAACCTCACATCTAATGCATTTAAAGCTGCTTTTTGTGCAAGGTTAATCCTATATTACATAAGATCTCATCTAACATGGCAAACATTTACTATAAAACATCCATGAGTCACTTTCCATGAGTACATAACAGGATATGAATAGTTTTTCCCCACTTCAGGTTTATAATTTGTAGTGTAATTGATAAATTTGTAATAAACTTAGTACATAAACTAAAAATGTTTTTAAAATGAACTAAATTAAAATAAAATAAAAAACCTCAGTATGCAATTGTATGATATGCATTTAAATGGGAGACATTTAAAGCTGCTTTTCATGCAAGGTTAATCTTGAGTTATGTAAGATCTTATCTAACATAGCTAACATCTACTATAAAAACAAGGGATTTGTGCTCATCTTAAAATCCCTTAAAGTGCAATGTGACAGCAGTGTGTCCCTTGTTCGTCAACAAAGCCATAACCACTGTATGTACTGTGGATACAGGATACATAAAACTCATGTTGAGATGTTCTCTGTGCTTGCTTTATGGCAGAGACGGCACGGTTGCCAAGGTGACTGCTGGATCTTGTGTGTGCTGCAACGCTCGAGGCCATGTGTTTATCTCTCCAGCCATGTGAAAACAGCAAACTGTAAAAATGACAGGTAAAAAACACACTTACGTCCTCATTGGTGGTCTGATTGAGGGAGATCAAATAGGTGTGAAAGCCAGTCAAGCCCACCACAGACCAGAGGGTGAAGAAGCAAACCAAAACCTCCAACACAGTGCAAAGACGAGTCAAGGAAACAACATGCTCATATCTACAATATGACTGAACTTTAATATTTCACTGTTCAGCTACACAGATTATATGTGGTGAGTGCGTGTTTAAATGTCATACAACTAGCACAAAAACACTGTGTTTTTCTAGATAGTTCATTCACAGCATGACAGGTTTATGAGGAGCTCATATTATTTTGCAGATCTTCAGCGAGTGGCTCTGAAGCTCATATGAAAGGATATGTTCCTGGAGTTTCTTTAAGGGTATTCACAAATCCCGAGTCCACAGAACCTATAAAACAAACAAGATTGTTTTTATTTACATCATTTATGCATGCATGCTAGCATCAGATGTCCAAGTTTCTCACTTTCTCCCTGCCATCATCACATGTTCAGAAGACTTTCACACCTCCACCTACGCTCTGCCAGTGCTGAGAAGTTTGTGTTGTTCCTTTACATGCACCTTTTCATCCACAGTAGCTACATTTGCATTCAGCCTAATTATCTGCTGAAGGAATAGCTCACCCAGAACTTGTCATTATTTTTTAGTATGTTATCCATATGCTGCTACACTCAAATAAGGACATAACAAACACTAGTCTAAAGCATTATAAGCAATGCGTTCATCCAAACTTAGAATAGCGAAACGCAATACATAATGCTTTTATTTATTGGCTAATGGAGTATTTGCATAGCTAGTGTTTTTCAGCCAAATTTTTAATAGCTTGACAGTTCACCAGAAATGTTTGGGATGGCTGACTTGTTGCATTCGCAGGTAAGTGTGTGTGTCTCTCTCTCTCTCTTTCTCTCTCTCTCTTTAATTATGTAGATGACGTGCCCTGGGATTGGCTGGAGTGACCAGGACATCTTTTAAAAAAAGTGAATGGGGGTGGAGTGGGAGAGCGAGTTGGTTGTCACGTTGTTTGGCGTGTAGAAAAAATATAGTGTTATTTTTGATTGTGTATTCCCGTTTTGGTGTGCGTGTAAATTTTGACTTTTTTTGTTGTTTATCCTACCCCCAGTGATCCAATCAGTTCAGTTATTAAATCACGTCATCTGTTAAGATGAAAATAAAATGATTGAATTTGTGAAATTATCTCAGAGTGCAGAAGTACACTCACTGGCCACTTTATTAGGTACACCTTACTAGTACTGGGTTGGACCCTCTTTAGCCTCCAGAACTGCCTCAATCCTTTGTGGCATAGATTCAACAAGATAATGGAAAATTGGTCCATATTGACATGACAGGATCATGCAGTTGCTGCAGATTTGTCTGCTGCACATCCATGATGTGAATCTCCCGTTCCACCATATCCCAAAAGTGCTCTATTGGATTGAGATCTGGTGACTGTGGAGGCCATTTGAATACAGTGAACTCATTGTCTTGCTCAAAAAAACTAGTCTGAGATTATTCGCGCCTTATGACATGGTGCGTTACCCTGCTAGAAGAAGCCATGAGAAGATGGGTGCATGGTGGTCATAAAGGGATGGACATGATCAGCAATAATACTCAGGTAGGCTGTGGCATTGACACGATGCTCAATTGGTACTATTGGGTCTAAAGTGTGGCAAGAAAATATTCCCCACACCATTACACCAACACCAGCCTGAACCTTTAATACAAGGCAGGATGGATCTATGCTTTTATGTTGTTGATGCCAAATTCTGACCCGACCGACCAAATGTTGCAGCAGAAATCAAGACTTATCAGACCAGGCAGTGTTTTTTCCAGTCTTCTATTGTCCAATTTTGGTGAGTCTGTGCAAATTGTAGCCTAAGTTTCCTGTTCTTAGCAGAAAGGATCACACTGGATGTTTTCTCTTTTTTTAGACCAGACAATTCTTTGTAAATGCTAGAGATGGTTGTGCATGAAAATCCCAGTAGATTTGCAATTTCTGAAATTGTCAGACCAGCCCATCTGGCACCAACAACCATGCTACATTAAAGGGTCTCTTAAATCACCTTTCTTTCCCATTTTAATGCTTAGTTTGAACTGCAGCAGATCGTCTTGACCATGTCTACATGCCTAAGTGCATTAAGTTGCTGCCATGTGATTGGCTGAGTAGAAATTTGCACTAACGTGCAGTTGGACAGGTGTACCTAATAAAGTGGCCGTTGAGTTTGTGTTTTTATGCACACTTAAGTTTTAGTTTTAAAGTGATATCCTAAAATGTGTAAACATTCTGTTTGCATAAAGACATAAGTAGTGTTACTTGTACGCTATAATACTTTTTTTTATTCTGACTGTGTACAATCTGTGCTTGTAAACAGATAAATCCTCAAAATGAATGTCAGAATGTTTCGTGCTTCGTCCTAAGATCACAGCAAATCGTCTAGGCATTTACTTCTCTCTTGTCCTTGCCATCTATAGTGCACTTTTAGAAGAGGAAGATCAAAGTAAGAAAAAATAGCAGACATCAACAAGAGCCGATATCCTGAACACTCCCAGACCGAACCACGCCTGAGAGAAAAGCATTCGCATACATATTGAGTGTCGCTTAAAAGAGATTGTTTTCCCAGAAAGCCCAGTCATTATACCGGTGGACCTTCTGTGCATGTTAAATGACTATTGATAACATGAAAACCTAAAGTGCTCTATCAAACAATCTGACTTTGCATGTCAACAGCATAGACACAGATGCACACACATGTATTCTTGTTAAAAATACTCACGTAAAACCACATGGACAATGTCGAAGGCGAAGATGTAGATGGTGAGTAGAGACAGCGAGAGTGTAAACAAGTAGAAATATCGGTAATTCCTCTTTCCTACGCAGTTTCCAACCCAGGGGCAATGATGGTCAAACCGGTCTAAAGGAAAGACAAAGTATAGAGACTTATTAATTATTATTATTAATAGTAGTAGTAGGAGGATTAGACTCTACTACAGGGTTTTTTCTACTACTTTATTTTTTTCACTTTCAAAGATTAAAGTGCAAGATTAATGGAGTTATTAGCTGCTTTTCCACTATCGTGCCAAACCGTTCTAAGAACACTTCGGTACGGTTACGGTTGTTTCTCCACTGAGCCTGGAACGGCGCGGCACGATTACAAACCGTTCTCGGCCCGGAATTCTCGGCATGGTTAGACAACCGTGCTGAACTGTGCTGACAGATTCTGTGTGTTGACGTCGCGACTCGGTTGCTAAGCTACCACAGCTGGCTCAGCAGAAGCGCGCTAGTCATCGGACATCCTCAATAAACTACAGTACATTTAATATGAAATAATGATCCAGGTCTAAACGATACAGTTTGAAAAGGGTTTTAAAACCATAAAGCAGTCTCTGGCAGAGAAGTCAATAACTCATCACATTCTTACGAAGATATTTTATTCATTAAAGTTATTATTTTATTGACTTGAATACAGACCTACTTCGCCTGCCTGAATGTGAGTTTATTGCACGCAGCGCTGTATTTCACAGCACAAAACTCGCTCTGATCCGGGAGAGACATGCCAGCGCTGCTGACTTTTTTTTCCTGCTGCGCATCGAATAAAGCGAATAAGGTCACGCTTGGCCTCGTCGATGTCCAAATTCCACAACAACATCACTATATCCATGGAACACGAACTTGCAGACTCTTTTAACAACGAGGAAATAATTGCACTTTTTAATTCAAAGCCAGGACAGCTTGTTAATACCCGCGAGACCACCTGAGAGACGGCGTGTTGTAATGTCGGCCATCCAAAAGACTTTGCTTGAAAGCTTTACGGAGCGGCACTGTAACTGTCCAAGGTACTATTGAATGATTTATATTATAGCATATGCACTAATAAACAAGTCAAAAGAATGAATGAATTAAATAAATATGGATTCTTAAATGTCAGTATTGCTTTTACTCAAAAAATATCAATACGTTTTGACAAATGTTTTTAAAAAATAAAATGAGCAATTTTCATAATTTCAGCTATAGGCAGTTATATGATTCATTTATACATAAGTTATATGACATTTATGAGGCATGTAACATGTTTCTGTGTTTTTGTTTTTTTGTTCTTGGTGATCTTTAATATAGCTACGCAAATATTTTCTAAAACGTCTAGCAATAATTCGCCTACAGCTTGTTAGTTAATTATGAACACAAAAAATAATTATAATAATAAAAATAAAATGATCGAAATAAAAAGATAATAGAGCAGCATTTTGCTAAATTTAATAGTGCTTTATATGCTTTAAATCCTGCTATATATTGTTTCATATTCGTTTTTTATTTCACTTGCTGCATTCGTTATTTAATGTTTGAATAGTAAAACAAATAACAGCCATCACTTAATTGGTTTCATTTTACCATCAAAATGTAGTATATTTTATATCATTATCAACTTTTGATATAAAAACGCAGTGTAATTTAATTATTGTGTAAAATGAAATAATTTATGTGCTGTGTTTTTATTAGTGAAAGTGCCCGCTCACCTTTGACAAGGCCTGTCCAAAATTATATTTCTGCCACTATAATGCAAATGCACTATTATTGTTGTCTTATCCTTGTTTATTTTTCTGTTATTTTCAGAGATTTTAAATACTAATTATTTCCCCTCCAATTATTTTCAATCATCACGTTACATTTTGGTAATTTTCCCTCCAAATAAAATGTTGCCAGAGCTGCGCAACATAAATAATTAAGGGTGCACATGTACCTATATTTAGCACCTATTTGATAGAGCGGCATAACAGTGTTTAGTCACATGGTTGCTTTCGCTTTTATGAAAAAAAAAAAAAAAACTAGTTTCGGCTCTTATTTAACTTTAATTGAACAAAGGGAGCCGTTTACATTGCGTTACCAAGGCAACTACTGATGCGTTTTGTGTAATGTTTTAAAGAGCTTTGTCGCAGCACGACAGTGGAAAATGAAACCGTATCCGTGCTGTCTGGCCCGGTTTGGCACGGAATGAAACAGTTCTGTTTAAAGAACGATTCAGCACGATAGTGGAAAAGCGGCTATTGACTGCCAAAAGAAAGAATATATTCTGAAAACAAGTCTGAAACAATTTGTCAGACTTTCAATCTTACTTCTGGCTTAACCTCAATCAGATTTATAACAAGTCTGCATAATGGCACCCTATGTTTTGTTCATTTGTTGCCTATCAATAACAACTACTTCGCCCCTCAAACACTGTAGCTGTGGCTGAGGACTTAAAGAGTTTGGTTTGTATAGCTAACACTTCAAGACATCTTTGCATGCATCTGATGGACAACTGATCCACTCCATGTGCATTTCCAAAACATGAGGACTTGAATGTACATGATAAAAAAAAACAATGCATTATCAACGTTTGTATCAGTGTTCGAAGTAGCATGCATAACTGAAATTCAATTATGGTAATGAGCATTTGGTTTCCAATGTGAAATGAAAGCAGTTGACCAATCACAACATATTAGACCAATTAAGAGTACAGCAGGCTCTCAAAAAGGAGGGGTTTAATTTCACATGATAGAGGGAAATAAACCATTTCAGACATTGTGAATTGGAAACCTACAAAACAAAAGTCAGAATCTTTAAAACAGCATAAGGCACTTTGAACTAAGAAGAAGATGGTACCCAAAGCAGATATTTTCTGTATGTGTGTGTGTGTGTGTGTGTGTGTGTGTGTGTGTGTGTGTGTGTGTGTGTGTGTGTGTGTGTGTGTGTGTGTGTGTGTGTGGCAGGTGCACGATGCCCAAACAAATGGCCCTGTGTTAACGATGACTGTGCAAAGAGGGCAAAACTGAGCCCTCAGTGAACTCTCTAATATCAGCATATGCATCTCACTAACCTTGCAATATGTGTGAGCAAGTGTGTGTGTGTGAGTGTGTGTGTGCGTGTGTGTGTCCTATCTGACTCATCTCTCAACAATTCACTATTATACTGAAGCATGAAATGGCATGTATGTGTGCAGATATTTCAAAGACATTAATTTGACAAAAACAATTAAAAAAAAAAAAAAAACATTTCCAAACAACCCCAGCTCAGACAGTAGCCGACTGCGGACTAATATGACGATCGCGTCAGCCCCAACATCAGACACGCCCTCGGTCAAGCGCTGAAGCCCCATGTGAATCGGCCGTAAATCATATGGCGTAAAAGCATGAAGGGCATGTCCGAATCTACTTTTGCTATTTTAAGGACAGAAAAAATATATATACGCTCTGCACCAAGCGCATGGTCTAACAGGGTTGTGCTTATTCTCTTCATGAGTTATGGGTGTGTTTTGAGCATAGCGTGCATTAAACCAATCAGAGTCTCATCTCCCTTTCCCTTTAAGAGTCGGTTGCGTCGCACAACTCTGTGCATTTGTGATTTACATAGCTGAAAAGCTTCTGAAAGCTTCACTAGCAAACAAAGTTAAACAGATCATCCGCTGCGCAAGGATAAAGAGCGAGCCTCCTCCATTTGGCCTCTTTACTTTCTCTTTACTTTACTCCTTTACTCTTGTGGATAAAGAAATGGTGGAAACGCAGTCCACTGAAGACAACCATTAGCCTACATATTTAATTTATATTGTTAGGCTCAAATTTGTTAAAAAACTTTTCTAAATTCAGTTCTAATTTCCAGCAAACGAATAAATAAACAATAATAACGAAATGTAGTCATGTTACATCTAAACACATGCCCTATGGCCCATATGGTCCAATACCAGACAGATGGACAAATCTAAACTTTTTTTTATTAAAACAAATATAAATATGCATATAATAAAGAATACTGCTAATAATAGTAACAACATCATTATTATGCAAATTGTCATGAATAAACTGAAAAAAGCCCCCTGACAGGAAGGAGGCATGGAGGTAATGTTTTTTTATATTTATGTAGAGATTAAAATGTTTATTAATATTAATGTAATATTTTAATTTCTTATTTTTTTCATATGTAAAGATATTTGTGTATCGCTGTACATCCTATGTCTTAAACAATGTGTAAGCATTTGGTTGATTGCATTATATTTTAGTTTCTCAAAATAGCACTGCCAACAATGCGCCTTAACACACCTCCTTTTTATACCAGAACACCCATAAGTGCACAAAGTGGTGCAAATGGATTTGCTATTCAATAACCGTAGGCAAAACATGAATATTAGGATTATGCTTGTCTGAAAATAGCAACAAATCACGCTGTACACGTCTTGCTTCTTATTGTGCTGGGTGTATAATAGGACCAATCGTCTTAATGATTGAAAATCTCTTTTATTTTGAACCCATATATAGCAGTTGAAATTCCAATTTAAAACTGCATTTCTATTTTAATATAGTAACAATAATAATAACAGTAATAACATTTCAAAATCTCATTTATTCCTGTGATTGATAACCTGATTTTACAGCAGCTATTGCACTAGTAATCAGTGCCACATGATCCTTTAGAAAGCATTCTAATATGCCAACAATAAGAAAAAACATCTCTTATTATCAAAAGGTGAAAAAACTTACACAGAATATTTTAAATAAAAACATCTCATGATCCTTTAAACAGCATTAACCATATCTAAAAATATCCCGTTTTACTTTTAATGTCACCTTTGATTCATTTAATGCATCCTTCTTGAAAAAAAAAAAAAAGTTCCAGCACAAATCTCTTCAAGAAATCACACAATTTGAAATGTCATTCATAATACAAGTTATTTTAGACACGTTTCAATCACTCACCCACACAGTTGTCACAGATGCTGCAGTGTGAAGCACGAGGGGGTCTGAAGATCTTGCAGGTGTAGCAGTACTTCAGCTTGACGATCTGATTGTTAATTTGCACATTCTTAATGCGGGGGGGAGGCCGCTGTCCAGCCAAGACATTCCCATTGGCCGCTTCTGCAACAGGCAGGTAAAAACAGTCAACAATCCATATGCACAACACATAAAACATCTCACTCAAGATCACATGACTCAATGACACAAGAAGCAGGAAAAAAAACACCTCTAAATCAGAGACATGAAGTTTGAGCTATGCATGGCTCTTCAAGCGGTCACACTCTCAAGCACAGTATAGTTATTTATGTTATTTAGCGTAATGAGTTTCATAGCATAGTCAAAGACGGAGATTAAGGGATCTTCGCGTCAAGTCTTCAAGTCTAAGAATGGTTCATTTTTGTGATATGGTTAGGAAAATAATTTAATTAGTCCTGATTGGCTAGAATTCACATGATCGTTTTTAAGGTCAAACCTAAAGATACAAAACAAAACAAAAGTGGGCTTATACATATACAGTTAAGTGAAAAAAATAAGCCCTTAATTAAAATCCAGTTCACATTAAATTCGTATTTTTCATATCAGGATATGAATATTATCTGATCTGTAGCAAGTTCTAAATTTTGGGAAATAAAACAATAACATATAGCACTAGCTAAATAATTCAGGCACTCCTAATCAAATGATCATCATCGTTTTACCAGTCTGTTGGTTGTGAGCTTCAGGTGTGTGTTAAACCAATGCCCATCCCATAGCTAAAGTTTAGCCAAAATTGGATCATGCAACAAGACACTGATACCGAGCACACCAGCAAATTTACAACAAAAAAATTGTTGCAATAGTCAAGTCCAGAGCTCATCCTGACTAAAATCTTGTGGTCAGAGCTCTGCAACAAAAAAAATAAATAAAACTCCAAAACTTCTCCAAAATGATCTGAGAGACTGAAAAGGTCATTCAGAAAATAATTTCTTTTAAGTAATTACTGCTAAAAGTAGATCTACAAGCATCCAAATCATAGGGTGTCCTAGGTTCGTCACGCGTGGCTTTTATATCTTGGCTTTATTTTTGTTAGAAAATATATATGCTAATGACAAGATGTGGTGTCACGGTGGCACAGTGGGTAGCCCGATCGCCTTACAGAAAGAAGGTTGTTGCTTGTTAGAGCCCCAGCTGGGTCAGTAGGGATTTCTGTGTGGAGTTTGCATGTTATGTCCGTGTTCCCTTGGGTTTCCTCCAAGCGCTCCAGTTTCCCCCCAGTCCAAGACATGCGGTATAACTGAAATGAATAAGCTGAATTTGCCATAGTGTGTGTTATTGAGTGTGTGTACGGATGTTTCCCAGTGTTGGGTTGTAGCTGGAAGGGCATCCGCAGCATAAAACATTTGCTGGATTAGTTGGCGGTTTGTTCTGCTGTGGCGACCCCTGATTAATAAAAGGGACTAAGCCAAAAAAAAAACGAATAAACGGATGACAAGGTGTGATATTATACATCTAACATTGGTAATCTGAGGTTTATCTTCTGAATTTTAAGAATAGCTAAGGACTATTTGGACTGTTTTATTATGTACTGTCTGGAAAACTATGAAATCCAATATGGTGTCCTAAATTTTTCACATGACTGTAAATGCTACAGTATTTCCAAAACATCCAAAACTATAATTTGCTGAATGTGTTCAATGTATATTTGTATATATTACTATTTTTATCGATTGAGAACATGTTGACACAGTAAATGAGTCAAAACACCTCTAGAAATAAAAGAGATTATCACAGCTATGAAGAGAAAACACATATGCTTGAGTGCTGTCTTTTGTTATGGTCACATCTTGTCCTGTTTTTGGTTGATATAGTCTTTGGTCTGTGTCGGGTTCATATTTCAATCAAACTACAAACAGTTTGCTTGTGAATGGACAAAACCCATTTTTTGCAGCTTGTTTGATGAGCACCAAGCTTTGGATGGCAGCTTTCATGTTTATTCAAATGAACTGGATGAACAAAGCAAGCAATCACACCAGAGGTCATTTTAATCAAAACAATTCTGGCTAATGTGAACAAACTAAGAAAGAATAAAAAACATTTCAAGGAAATTTTAAGAAAATATGAAAAAGAAAGCCAGTCATTGTCACCAAATAAACCCTGACAGGCTAATTATGATCAAAACATGAAACATAAGGCTCTTGTCTCCAATCCAAACCATTTATTTTGATAAAACAACAGTCTCACTGCATGTGATGCCACTAAACTAACCAGTAAATTGTCAACAAATAATGCTAATTTACAATATTGTAGGTTGATTTTATGAGGAGATGAAACCAGGACAATTGAGTTCATTTATTGCTTTAGTTATAGTTATATTATAACTAGTGTTTCATTACAGAATGACAGAATTGAAATTGCTCGATTTCATGAATTTGTCTCCATCCAGACCAAGAAATAAGCATTTTTTTTCTTTTCCTTGGTCTCATGTAATCATAATGACTCACTTTCTTTTCTTATGAAAATAATGAAGTAAAAATACTTTGTTTAAAAGACCAGGGTTAAATGTCATTGCACTGTGTAAAAAAGGGTGATATTTGTCTCTGCTGTGTTATTATGCTCTGGTGAAATGACTGCATTATCATGTACTCAGAACTCAGAATGCAGAAATACACAGCTGCCTGTTAATCCACATGCCTGGGTTGGCACAAAATGGCACTTTAGTACGTGTATCTGATCCAGAATCAGCCACTTTTAATCAGCCGCAGAGACATTCATCTAAAAATAGCATATTAAAGCTGGGATGTTGAAACGGCAGAGTAAATTTGTTGAAATCAATCTTTGCCCTGCCCCACTGCAGTTCACAAACAAAACGGTCCTATTTTAAGCTGCTACATTCAAATCAATACCAAATATTTTGGTTTGGGTGCCATCCGCTTGTTAAGTTGTGACAAATGGAATACTGTTACATCAATGCATTGTGCTTGTTTTTTTAAGAACGTGTCTGGTGCAAATGTGCAAAACTTGTGCAAGTGTCAGTTAGTGTCAGAGATGAAAGTGTGTGCTTTCTACAGGTGGTTTGTCAAACCCACTAACCTGTGCGAGGCACACTCAGAATTAATAATGTTTTGGGGTTGTCGTGTGGTGAGTTTGTAAATGATGATATGATTTTATTCATTCATTTTCCTTCGGCTTAGTCCTTTTATTTATCAGGGGTCGCCACAGCGGAATAAACTGCCAAGTCATCCAGCATATGTTTTAAGCAGTGGATGCCCTTCCAGCTGCAACCCAGCACTGCGAAACACCAATACACTCTCACATTTACCCACATTCACTAAGAGTAATTTAGTTTATTCAATTCACCTATAGCCCATGTCTTTGGACAGTGGGGGAAACCAGAGCACCTGGAGGAAACCCATGCCAACAGGGGGAGAACATGCAAACTCCACAGAGAAACGCCAACTGGCCCAGCCAGGACTCAAACCAGCGACCTTCTTGTTGTGAGGTGACAATGCTAACCACTGAGCCACCGCGCCACCCCATAAATTGGTTTATTAAGGGAAAATTTTCAACAAATGTGCCTGACCTAATGTGAAAAAGTAATTGCCAATTTAATTGCACTTTTAAGCGTGACAAATATGCAATATCAGCAAATCAGCAAAGGTGTGTGTGTGGGATTTATCTAATCTTTTAAACTACAAACAAATCACTGGCTATTCAAATTGAGGTTGGGACAGTTTGGCTTAAAAAATAAAATAAAATAATATTAATATAACAATAATTTTAGTTGCCGAAAGTTGCAATTTAATGTTATAGAATTTCTTAGTCAAGTTTACCAGCATACTACTTCACAGAGAGAACAATTCTAGTTGTGAATATGCTCCACAAAACCATTGAAAATAAGCTAGTAGAAATTAGACATCAGAGTATGCAGTGGTTCATCAGGGGAATTGCCACAGGAAGTGATGTCCTGGTTTAGTGAACATCAGTAATAACAAATGCTGCAAGGCCCCAAAGGCACATCTGAGTGTCAGCGGCGGTGCTGATGTAGAACAACAGAGCTCTCGTTTTAGAAAACACAGAGAAACCAGCAAGGGAAGAAGAGATGATGCAGGAGGAACAGAGAGAAGGGAGTGAACAGAGATGAGTTCATCTTTAGTGTAGCCCAGATCTCAGAAGGGAACAGTGACAGGCTGGTGACTGAACTACAGAAAGCAATATTCCCAAAGAGCCTCAACCACACGAATGAATCACCAGAAGCGAAATTAGCATGACGAGAGCAGCAAGTTAATCTAAGCTAATTGCATTTAATTAGTTTAATATGCTGATGTTAACCTTTGTGACATTCAAAGTAGGACAAGCTTGCAAAAACTACTAATCAGCCTATTTTAAGGTTTTTCCTTTTATATTTTCAAAAAGGAATATATAAAAGTCTATTTTTCTGTAGATGTAAGGAGATTTTTTGCAAGCCAAACAGTAGGCCATTTCAGTTTACTGTGGATGAGGATAGATCAAGTCTAATGCAATCTACCAAAGCAGTGAATTCTCAAGCACATCAAAAAATAAATAAAACACAAATGTCTCTAGTGAGCCCTAAAAAAAATTATATGAAACCGTTTCTGCCAAACACTCCTGCAAAATGTATGACTTTCAGTCAGAACAGTCAGAACACTGGTTTCTGTTCAAGGCAGTTGAGTTTGTGTGGGTGTGCAGCAGCAAGTCATGTGAAGAATTCTTATTTTACTTTTCGTGTCTCTAAAGGATTGTAAAGTGAAGAAAAATAGTGGGAAAAAGGAAAGTATGGGATTGAAAAATTGCACGGATCAGACGCAACCCTGAACTCTCCTGGAGCAGTTCATGTCTGAAATCTTACTTGTGAATATTCAAAGCAGATGTGGGATAACTGTTAAGGGTAGACATGAGACGATAACCAGTTTCAAGGTTTACTGTGGTTTGGGAAAGTCAAGGCTTTAAAACAGCCAAAGTTTTATTGTTATTTCATTTCTAAGATATATACAAGTATTTTATTTAGTTTTTTTTAGGAAATTCTACATCAAAAGTTACTGGTCCAAATTATTTCAAATTTCCTAAAAATTAAATATATTGTGTTTAATGGGGTGGAAAGTTTTATTTTTTACCCAGACATTTAAAAAGCATATTTTACAGCAGTCATCACAATACCGTGACACCTAGACATTTTTATCCAAGGTTATCATACCGCCAGAATCTTATACTAGCCCATGCCTGGCTGAGGGACTAGTGAAAATGAATCACTGCAAAACTGGAGTCTTGCAAATTGATGTGAACACTGTACATACAATTTGCTTTATAAAGTTTTAGGTATATTGGTTTGTCCTCTACTAAAAACTCCTATATCTTAAACCAAAGCAAAAAAAATGTTTTAAATAAATATTATATGAATATAATATTTTTTGTATTCATACTACAAAAAAGGTAACTGACTTTCAGTTTAGATTTTTCCCCGCACAATTTAGATGGGAAAAGTCTGAATTAGCTTTTTTTTAAGTCATAATTCTACAGTTTTCTTTTTTTCTTTTTTTGCAGAACTGCAAATCAAATATAAATATTGCAATTGCAACTTAGCTTGAAATCAAGCGGCAACATCCCACTCTCCCTTGAAAGCCAATACGAAAGTTACTGAAACTGCAATTCATTGAAATTCCGCTAGGCCTGGCTCCATAATAGAGCACATTTCTATTGGCCCCAATGTTAAAATGGTCAACTTTACAACAGAAATGGTGTTTAAAGCCTGGTACAAAAATAATTTTGGTGCATAATGCTAATGTTACACTAAATGAAAACTGTAAAGACTGTGATTTTTTTTAATCAACTCATCCGTTTCATTTATATTAAGTTATATTAAGTTAGCATATTTAAGGGCGTGGCCACATGAGTGACAGCTAGGTCTCGCTGGTCACCGTTACGCCACCTCAGCTAATTCCGCCTGATTAGCTGCTGAGCTCAGCATATACATCATATTTTTGTTTTGTTTTTATATGGCTTTATACTGTCAGTTGCCTTTTGGAATTATTTCCTACAATTATCAGATGATATGGCATGCTGTGTGCACTTAATTGTGCTCACAAAGCATTTGCCAGGTGAGTGAAATTATATATTTATCTACCATATCTATAAATGTATGTTTTTTACTTAAGATCATTTATATTTTACTTTAGAACTTGAATGCATTCCAGAATCTGACAGCTGTAGCTGGTCCATGAGATGATGCATGAACAAAATGCAAACAGTTGGCCACGCTTACTTGTAGCTTAATTTATGCTCTTCAGAAGGTTATGGGTGACGTCACGAATATTACGTCCATATCCGTTACAGTCTATGAACAAAAAAATGCACTCCTTTTAGAATAGACTTTGTGCTTTGTATCTTTGTACATCTGTTTATTTCACACAGAAGTCGAAAGTGCAAAAAGAAAAATATGACGGCTTTAAATCCATTTCCACAAAAACAAATGTCACTTAAGAAAATAAACCTCCAAGTTCCCAAATTACTATTTATATATTGTTAATCATATTTCTATATTGTTTAGAATTACAAATGACTATTTATAGTAAATATATAAATATTTACTAATAAGCCTTATTATTTACTTACAGTTAAGTGGTTCTACATTTTTATGCATTTAAGAAAATATGTTCTGAAGAACAAAGAATGAAGCAGCTACTGACTTATAGTAATAGCTGCTGCTTTCCATCATTTTTCAAAACATCTTTTCAGTTTAACAGAAAAAAAGAAAAGAAACTGTTTTAAGAGTAAATTATGACCTAGCTTTAATAATTGGGCAAATCATCCCTTAAATATCGAAAACCATAACTAGATAACAATTAAACACAGCCGCATTATCATGAAGTCTAAAAGTACACAATGTTTCCCAGCTGACCTCAGAATTCACGGTCCAAAACACTCAACCTTTTTAAAATTCGCAAAACAAAACAATAAATTAATCAGCAGGTCTGAGCAAACACCGTCCCACTTCCTCCACATGCCTGATACAGTATTCATGGCCTTCCCTGTACTGGGTCCAAACACCCGCAGGTGGCACTGATGGTACAAACTATGGCATTGAACCTGAAATCCCCTTGGCTGAACTCCATGACACTCACCGATCTCCATCTCAATAAAGTTGGCCTCCTCGGGCAGGGCTCGCGGCAGCACCCCTGGGTCACTGAAGCTGGTTCTGAGTAGCATGGCCATCACGAAGACGAACAGCAACACTGCAAACACAGGGATGGCAGGAGACAGGTGGACTGCCAGATACGGACACCTGTGCAGGACCAGAGAACAAGAATGATCACAAGAAATAATGAGGAAGACATGAAATTCACTGCATTAAGGATACAGGACAGGAATAAATCCTTCTGTGCTATAAATGGAACAAAACTAATTAAGAAATTGATTCAGCAACACAATAATAAAAAACACTTTTGAAAGAGGTAAATATATATATATATATATATATATATATATATATATATATATATATATATATATATGTGCTTACAGATCTAAAGACCAGTGTTGGGGTAATGCATTACACCATAAGCCCCATTACTTTTCTAAGTAACTTGTAAAGTAACAAAATACTAAAAAAAATTTAATAATATTATACTTTTCTAAATATTTAACTAAATTTACTTTTAAAAAGTAACCAAGTTATGTCTGCGCAATAGCCTAGGGGTTTGTGCGTCGACATATGGTGCTGTAGCGCTTCAGGGAGTCCCGAGTTCGAATCCCGGCTCGAGGACATTTCCCGTCCCTAACCCCTCTCTCTCCCACTTCGCTTCCTGTCTGAAATACTGTCCTATCCACTTAATAAAAGGCAAAAAGGCAAAAAAAAATCAAAAAAAAAAAAAAAAAAAAAAAGTAACCAAGTTACACAAATAGTTACTTTTTTGGAGAGTAACTAAATATTGTAATGCATTACTTTCAAAAGTAACTTTCCCCAACACCATTTGAGACCGAGGAGTTTTCCTAAGGTATACCAAAAGCAACAAAAAACAGACATTTAAATTGGGTCAGTTCCACATAGTTTTCCTAAATTCAACGTAAAAACATTTTGGTTGTCTTTCTAATGAAGTAATAGTAAGCTGTTCCTCCTAAATCAACAAAAATCATTAATGAAGATGATTTATAATACCATGTACCCAATTTAGCTATCCGCTCTTCTCTAAAGTCTTTTCAGAGCTGACAATGAAGCAGTCAGGACGGATGTTTACTAAGACCGACTGAGCTTTCTCCGCTCCTCCAGGCAGACAGCCACACAGTGATGAATTTGGTAGCTCCCATAAATTGCAAAAAATCTCAGGCCCTGTAAAAGTGCCTCCCTCCGCTCACCCTGCAGCAGATTGGTCGACTCCACAGGCCACTGCATTGAGCTATTAATAGGGTCACCCTGGCTCTCCTCCACCACTCTCTCCTGCTATGTAGACCGGCTATACCGACATAATGTATGGCTAATACATCACTGTAATGGTGCACAGTACATTTACTCTCAGGGGGAAAATTGCAACACTTTGCATTCTGCATGTAAAAAGGACATCACATACATTGAAAGAAAGAAGATATGAGTGCTCCTGACAACACAATGCAAAGAACTAGATTTTAAAGTCCCTCTGCAGTCACCAATTGTATCCATTAAAACTTAACTTTGATTATCAAAACTATGTATATTTCCTAGTGTCTTACAATAGCTTGTATGATACTCTACACTACTAATTTCTGAATATCCCAGCCTGATCCCACAATGAAACATAACTATTTTAATTAGTTTACTAAACTGTAGGATTTTACCAAGGAGACATGACACCCAACCCTGCCCAAAATCCCAATCGTCAATGGGGGATAAGCAGATCATACTAAATTGTACAGATGTGATCATAGGAATTAAGACACTAAATTAAAATGTTACGAACTGCATGGTATTGTGTGGAATATGCATATACATGAATATCCTAAATAGTTCCTGTCTCCACTCAATTGCATCAACAGTCAATAGACGTTTATTTCTGTGGCTAATGGTAGACACGTGGCAATTAGTCACCGTTATTCACAGACACAATTTTCAGTAATTTTTTTTTTAATTGTGAATTTGTTTAGTTCAGAATGTGCAAATAGTGCACCCCCTCATAATCACTGAAAGGTGGTCACACACATAGTGCATTGCTATGTCAAAGAGCTCTCTACAATGAATCTTATATAAGTCATGTCTACACTTCCTTTGTTATATTGAGAGGATTCACAATTTAGCAGAACTGCAGTGAACAAATACTCTGATGAAAGGATTATTTAAATTAAACAACTCTTCAGAAAGTCAACAGAAATATCTGCAATTGGAAACATTACTCAGCATAGCAAAAACACACTATAATAGGGACAAGAAACTACTGGTACCAAACAATTTGTCAAGTCGAACGTTTAAGTAACAATTGAATTAAAACATATTCTTCGCAAACTTTTTAATATAAACAGGTTGTAAAGATTTTTTTAAATCCTAATACATCAAAACCTTTATTTATGTAGCTTTTCCTGCACTTCAGGAAACTCCATCCCTTTACAGAGTTAGAGAGTGCAGTTATTCTATAAACTCTACACTTTATCATCATAAAATCATTTAAGCTCAACTGTAATTTTGCTTAACTTTGAGACTAATAATATAACACTTATAACACTTAAAATCAAATAGAGGTAAATGCAGTGAAGAATGCTTTTCAATGTCATGAAGATGCTTGAGATTTGGTGTGTATTTTATGCTTGTGAAAAGACTGTCAGATTAGTTATCGTGAAATGAAAGACACTGAATAAAAGTGAATATGGCAGAAACTGAACCATTGTTTTTTTTTGTGGTTCAATATGCACAGACACTAATACATTAAATCATTTGATTATGCATAGCATAGAGCACTACTATGCATTTAGTTAATATAAATGGATGTCCTAATTCTATTTTTCACACAAATAACAAATAAAAAGTAAATAAATGTACAAGTACTCAGAAACACTAAGTGTTTATTTCTTGAAAGTTACTCATCTCATTAGCATAACTTGCTTTCATATTTTGTTCTAAAACTGCACATCCTGCATCATTTCACTTTCACTTTCAATGCTTTGGGGTAGATACACTTCACAAAAAACACTTGAAATACAATATGGATATAAAGTTATATACAAGTTAACGTGTCAAACTAATCCTCCTACAATGCAAACTAGAACACCAGTTTAACCGGTCCACACTAGCCTTGTGGGTTTTCCCTTATAACATGTACTAATAATCTGCACACAACAGCACAATGAAGCTGTAAACGATATTAGCATCAGAAAGACAATTTTCCAGTCAGACTAGTACATGGTGAACGTTTAGCTGCGTCACACGCCTGTGTGTCACATACCAACCACAGCCATACATACACTGGAATTCTACCTGTGGGACGAGTCAGATTAGTTTGATCTGTTTAAAATGCGAGACCAGAAAACATAAAGAGGAGCGAAAAAGCAGAGCAGAGCCATACGATAAAACTTTCCACTGCCTAGATACGGTCCAGAATGCTGCAGGGAAATACATTTATTATTGTGAAAGCTGTGTCGGAGTAGAGCAAAACTGAGAAGTGTGTGTGTGTGTGTGTGTGTGTGTGTGTGTGTGTGTGTGTGTGTGTGTGGATGACTTGAAGCATCCAGGACCTACTCCATCATCAGTTCCTATCACATCCTTGTGATTCCCGGATATTACCCATGATGCAGTGCTGAATGTGACCTCTCTCTCTTTCTCTCCTCATAATCAATACCAGAGATAAGCAGCTGCCCTATTAGTGCAGATTCTGTTTTCATCACTGAAGATGCACAAGGCTATTTAACCACCATAATTACCAGCTTCGTTCATAAAAAAGCTAAATACACAGTACTGTGCCTAGGCGTACATAATCAACTCTTTATTGTTAAAAATCAAGACAAAGTCCTATTTGCGAAGCTTCTGACTTCCGTAATGTGACAGTTTTAGAACAGGATTTTCAAGTGCCAAAAAATGCAGAGTGGGAAGCAGTTGGATCACTGTAAAAAAACTATGTACAAAAACTGAAAAAGATGGAGCGAGAGTACGGTTAAACTATTATAAAGAGCAAATTGTTTAATGTCAAAATCAGTACCGATATCAGTGTTGGTAGTTAAATGGTTTACAAAATTCATGCTTTTGATCAAATTGTGGCTTGTGAATCATGGATATGAGTGTTTTCTGGATCAGCCAAAAATTAAGAGGGGATGAGACTAATATAATTTGTTTTCATAGGCTATATTCACGCTGCAGGCAAATGTGGCCCGAATCAGCTTTTTTGCACACATTTGACTCTGTTTTTGTCATGACAGTGTAAACAGCCCAAACCGCATGAAATCTGATCTTTTCAATTCTGATTTGTGCCACTTGGTCTTAAATGCAATACAGATCTGACATTGTATGAACAGTCATGTATTAATATGTGTATTAATATGAGTTTTGCAAACTTTTTTTCCATTATTCTGTACTGGTTCGTTCTGCAAACATCCTCTACTCCTCAGTGGCATAGCAGAAAAACACACAAGGCAAATACTTTACCCTAAAAATCTATTTTTAAAATTTTCACTTGTCAAAACTGGCACTTGTCAACCAAACATTAACCATTAGCCTGTAACCAAAAAAAAGATTACCACCATAATAAAATTGTATTTGAAAAATAAAATGCATAGGCCTACATGAAAGTTATATTTCACTTAATTAATACATTAGCAAAACCAAATGTAAGAGGTTATGCTCTTTTTAATTTCTTTTTTGTTGTTGTTAAGGACAAAATCGAAAACATTTCAGTTTCACTTTGATGAGTTTTGACTGGAGCCTACGTTGTTTATAACAAATTAAAATGAATTAACAGTAGGTTAGGTTATCAGACTCTGCAAACAATGTTTTAGGTTTCAAACACTGATATGCGCATTAGTACTAGCAAAACAACAATTTAGAGTTCATTAAAAACAGAACAGTTGTCTTTGAAAAAGTCAATAATCATATTAAATATAATCTGACAACTGCTTCATTCCCTTCGTGTACATTGAGTCCATAATTATATTTATATAATTTTTAAATTTAGATATTTTGTGTCGTGCGTAGTTGTACTTTTACTCATGCGGGTCAGTTTAGGACCATAATCTGTTCACACTGTAAATCTGACATTGGCCACATTTATAACAACAATGTGAACAGCTATCTGAGAAAAAAAAATCCGATTTGAGCACTAGCCTCGCAGTGTG